AAATCTGTGTGGGATGTGGGACATTCAAATCTGTGTGGAATGTGGGACATTCAAATCTGTGTGGGATGTGGGACATTCAAATCTGTGTGGGATGTGGGACATTCAAATCTGTGTGGGACATTCAAATCTGTGTGGGATGTGGGACATTCAAATCTGTGTGGGACATTCAAATCTGTGTTGGACATTCAAATCTGTGTGGGACATTCAAATCTTTTTAGGATGTGGGACATTCAAATCTGTGAGGGACATTCAAATCTTTTTAGGATGTGGGACATTCAAATCTGTGTGGGACATTCAAATCTGTGTTGGACATTCAAATCTGTGTGGGACATTCAAATCTTTTTAGGATGTGGGACATTCAAATCTGTGTGGGACGTTCAAATCTGTGTTAGACATTCAAATCTGTGTGGGACATTCAAATCTGTGTTGGACATTCAAATCTGTGTGGGACATTCAAATCTTTTTAGGATGTGGGACATTCAAATCTGTGAGGGACATTCAAATCTTTTTAGGATGTGGGACATTCAAATTTGTGTGGGACATTCAAATCTGTGTGGGACATTCAAATCTGTGAGGGACATTCAAATCTGTGTGGGACATTCAAATCTGTGTGGGACATTCAAATCTGTGAGGGACATTCAAATCTGTGAGGGACATTCAAATCTTTTTAGGATGTGGGACATTCAAATCTGTGTGGGACATTCAAATCTGTGAGGGACATTCAAATCTTTTTAGGATGTGGGACATTCAAATCTGTGTGGGACATTCAAATCTGTGAGGGACATTCAAATCTTTTTAGGATGTGGGACATTCAAATCTGTGTGGGACATTCAAATCTGTGAGGGACATTCAAATCTTTTTAGGATGTGGGACATTCAAATCTGTGTGGGACATTCAAATCTGTGAGGGACATTCAAATCTTTTTAGGATGTGGGACATTCAAATCTGTGTGGGACATTCAAATCTGTGTGGGACATTCAAATCTGTGTGGGATGTGGGACATTCAAATCTGTGTAGGACATTCAAATCTGTGTGGGACATTCAAATTTGTGAGGGACATTCAAATCTGTGTGGGACATTCAAATCTGTGTGGAACATTCAAAACTGTGTGGGACGTTCAAATCTGTGTGGGACATTCAAATCTGTGTGGGACATTCAAATCTGTGTGGGATGTGGGACATTCAAATCTGTGTGGGACATTCAAATCTGTGTGGGATGTGGGACATTCAAATCTGTGTGGGACATTCAAATCTTTGTGGGATGTGGGACATTCAAATCTGTGTGGGATGTGGGACATTCAAATCTGTGTGGGACATTCAAATCTTTTTAGGATGTGGGACATTCAAATCTGTGAGGGACATTCAAATCTGTGTGGGATGTGGGACATTCAAATCTGTGTGGGATGTGGGACATTCAAATCTGTGTAGGACATTCAAATCTTTTTAGGATGTGGGACATTCAAATCTGTGTGGGACATTCAAATCTGTGAGGGACATTCAAATCTGTGTAGGATGTGGGACATTCAAATCTTTGTGGGACATTCAAATCTGTGTGGGACATTCAAATCTGTGTGGGACATTCAAATCTTTTTAGGATGTGGGACATTCAAATCTGTGTGGGACATTCAAATCTGTGAGGGACATTCAAATCTGTGTAGGATGTGGGACATTCAAATCTTTGTGGGACATTCAAATCTGTGTGGGACATTCAAATCTGTGTGGGATGTGGGACATTCAAATCTGTGTGGGATGTAGGACATTCAAATCTGTGTAGGACATTCAAATCTGTGTGGGACATTCAAATCTGTGTGGGGCATTCAAATCTGTGTAGGACATTCAAATCTGTGTTGGACATTCAAATCTGTGTGGGACATTCAAATCTGTGTGGGACATTCAAATCTGTGTTGGACATTCAAATCTGTGTGGGACATTCAAATCTGTGAGGGACATTCAAATCTGTGTGGGACATTCAAATCTGTGTGGGACATTCAAATCTGTGTGGGATGTGGGACATTCAAATCTGTGTGGGACATTCAAATCTGTGTGGGACATTCAAATCTGTGTGGGATGTGGGACATTCAAATCTGTGTGGAACATTCAAATCTGTGTGGGATGTGGGACATTCAAATCTGTGTGGGATGTGGGACATTCAAATCTGTGTGGGACATTCAAATCTGTGTGGGACATTCAAATCTGTGTGGGATGTGGGACATTCAAATCTGTGTGGGACATTCAAATCTGTGTGGGATGTGGGACATTCAAATCTGTGTGGGATGTGGGACATTCAAATCTGTGTGGGACATTCAAATCTGTGTGGGACATTCAAATCTGTGTGGGATGTGGGACATTCAAATCTGTGTGGGACATTCAAATCTGTGTGGGATGTGGGACATTCAAATCTGTGTGGGATGTGGGACATTCAAATCTGTGTGGGATGTGGGACATTCAAATCTGTGTGGGACATTCAAATCTGTGTGGGATGTGGGACATTCAAATCTGTGTGGGATGTGGGACATTCAAATCTGTGTGGGACATTCAAATCTGTGTGGGATGTGGGACATTCAAATCTGTGTGGGACATTCAAATCTGTGTGGGACATTCAAATCTGTGTGGGACATTCAAATCTGTGTGGGATCTGGGACATTCAAATCTGTGTGGGATGTGGGACATTCAAATCTGTGTAGGATCTGGGACATTCAAATCTGTGTGGGATGTGGGACATTCAAATCTGTGTAGGATCTGGGACATTCAAATCTGTGTGGGATGTGGGACATTCAAATCTGTGTGGGACGTGGGACATTCAAATCTGTGTGGGACATTCAAATCTGTGTGGGACATTCAAATCTGTGTGGGACATTCAAATCTGTGTGGGACATTCAAATCTGTGTGGGACATTCAAATCTGTGTGGGATGTGGGACATTCAAATCTGTGTGGGACATTCAAATCTGTGTGGGATGTGGGACATTCAAATCTGTGTGGGATGTGGGACATTCAAATCTGTGTGGGACATTCAAATCTGTGTGGGACATTCAAATCTGTGTGGGATGTGGGACATTCAAATCTGTGTGGGACATACAAATCTGTGTGGGACATTCAAATCTGTGTGGGACATTCAAATCTGTGTGGGATGTGGGACATTCAAATCTGTGTGGGACATTCAAATCTGTGTGGGACGTGGGACATTCAAATCTGTGTGGGACATTCAAATCTGTGTGGGACATTCAAATCTGTGTGGGACATTCAAATCTGTGTGGGATGTGGGACATTCAAATCTGTGTGGGACATACAAATCTGTGTGGGACATTCAAATCTGTGTGGGACATTCAAATCTGTGTGGGATGTGGGACATTCCAATCTGTGTGGGACATTCAAATCTGTGTGGGACATTCAAATCTGTGTGGGACATACAAATCTGTGTGGGACATTCAAATCTGTGTGGGACATTCAAATCTGTGTGGGATGTGGGACATTCAAATCTGTGTGGGATGTGGGACATTCAAATGTGTGTGGGACATTCAAATCTGTGTGGGACATTCAAATCTGTGTGGGACATTCAAATCTGTGTGGGACATTCAAATCTGTGTGGGATGTGGGACATTCAAATCTGTGTGGGATGTGGGACATTCAAATCTGTGTGGGACATACAAATCTGTGTGGGACATTCAAATCTGTGTGGGACATTCAAATCTGTGTGGGATGTGGGACATTCAAATCTGTGTGGGACATTCAAATCTGTGTGGGATGTGGGACATTCAAATCTGTGTGGGACATTCAAATCTGTGTGGGACATTCAAATCTGTGTGGGATGTGGGACATTCAAATCTGTGTGGGACATTCAAATCTGTGTGGGACATTCAAATCTGTGTGGGATGTGGGACATTCAAATCTTTGTGGGACATTCAAATCTGTGTGGGACATTCAAATCTGTGTGGGACATTCAAATCTGTGTAGGATGTGGGACATTCAAATCTGTGTGGGATGTGGGACATTCAAATCTGTGAGGGACATTCAAATCTGTGTGGGATGTGGGACATTCAAATCTGTGTGGGACATTCAAATCTGTGTGGGACATTCAAATCTGTGTGGGATGTGGGACATTCAAATCTGTGTGGGACATTCAAATCTGTGTGGGATGTGGGACATTCAAATCTGTGTAGGATGTGGGACATTCAAATTTGTGTGGGACATTCAAATCTGTAAGGGACATTCAAATCTGTGTAGGATGTGGGACATTCAAATCTGTGTAGGATGTGGGACATTCAAATCTGTGTGGGATATGATGTTATGATGTCATCTCTTTCATTCATCATGAGATAATCTTTAGTGTATAAAAAGTGACCTTATTTTAATGTAAATAAACTACCAGTATTTCACTTGAGTTGGATTAAAATTGAAGGATGAATAAAATGAAAAGTCACAAACATTCATCATTGCCTTTTGGCCTTTTTGTGTATTGACAACTGTTATTGTTGCTTCACTTTTGTTTTACATTTTGTGTATGTAGGCATCAATTGTTGTATATTTGTATGTTGGCATCAAATGTTTTATATTTGTATGAAGGCATCAATTGTTATATATTTTGTGAATAGGCATCAATTGTTATATATTTTGTGAATAGGCATCAATTGTTATATATATGTAAAAAAAAATATCTGTGTGAAATTTGGACTAAATTTGCGCTGGATTTAAATAGGAATATGTGAACATGCTGGCTGTTTCCAAAGAGGTTTATTTCCATTTTTCTCCTGTGATTTTAAAACTTTGTAAAAAATCTGCAAAAATTAAAAAATCAGCGGAAAAATTCTGAGAAAGTGAAATTAGCTGAAGAAAATTGCAGCTGAAACGAAAAAATTGGATTTCTGCTAAAAATCTGACAAGTCACATAAGGTGCATCAATGACCTGTCTTAAGTCAATAGCAATGACCTGTCTTAAGTCAATAGCAATATCTGTCTTAAGAACTAGCAATGACCTATTCTAATTAGTATAAGGATCCCTTCACCTTAATATGAATTCTGTTGCTCTCTGATGGGTCATCTGCTAATAAAATGTTTTCTAACTTTAAATCTCTGTGAAGGATTCCTGAAAAGACAAGAAGAAAATACATTCAACTCTTTCCAATATTAAGCTGTAAATATTGACACAAATTAAATAAACCGGGAGTGATCTCCCCTAAACGTTCTTGAATATTCTTATATAACACTATGGGGGATGGCAACTAGGGCAGAGGCGTAGCGACCCTTCCCGGCGCCTGGGGACAAACTTTTCGATTTGCACCCCCCCCCCTCGAGATTTCGATTTGCACACCCCCCCTCAAACTTTCGCTTTTGCACCCCCCCTCAACCTTTCAATTTATTTTTCCAACCCGTTTTGGCGCCCCCTGAGGTCGGTGCCCGGGGACATATGTCGCCCCCGCCCCCCCCCCCCCCCCTCGCTACACTACTGAACTCGGGATATAGACATGATTTTCAATCCATTTTTAATAAATTAAACTTTTAAAAATAGCTCAGAATCTCATAGAAAAAAGACTTGCGCACCAAGTAAACGCCAAACAATATGTGTACAATAGTGCAGAGTATTATTAGTACTTTATAAATTCACATGCGTTTTTTTTGAGAAATCAGAAATTACTTCTTCTGGTCAACGGAAATTACTCAAAATTGAAAGAAGGTAGAGAATTAGATCTTTTACCTACATGTGAAATTTCATTTATCTATCCTAAACAGTACTCAAGTTATAGGCTTTTGAAAAATTGAAAGTAGAAAAAGTTCCACTTCCAGTTATCGGAAATTGCTGAAAAGTTGATACAGATTTACAAATTAGATATAATACTTATTACTTATATATGAAATTTCATCAACTTAGCTGTAACAGTACTCAAGTTATCGTGTTTACAGACACACATACACACACAGACATACGGACAGAATTGCAAAGTCCAGTTTTTCAGACTGGATTACACATAAAATGCCAAAATTTTGATAGATCTGGATTGATAATTTTTGCCCAATTAAAATAAGTTCTCTAAACTCCAGATGTGATGAAGGACTGAGGTGTAAAATGGTGAAAACTGTCAAAATTTCAAGTGATTTTTTTGCTCGATTACAATACTTTCTCTATACTCTGTATACGAGAAAGTAAAACTAAGGAGTGGTATATATTGACACAAATTAAAAAAAGAAGAAAATGAAGTTGATTAAAGAATCGTTATATAATATCTTGTCTGTGGGTTATTGCTGTAATTCCAGACGAATGAAATTGTTCTAACAATTAAGTGAAACGAATGGTCCATTTATAGATTAGTCCCATGCTTCTAATTCTGATGCAACTGTGCATTGCATGAGAAAATAAAAACAGCTTTTGTCCATGTTGATCAACCTCTGCAATGGTGAGGTAGAACACTTCAGGTTGATGTGTCAGTGGCCTCATCCTAACCCTAACCCAGAGGTGTCAGTGGCATCACAGAGAGCTCAAGGGAGTCACCATTTAGGCTTCCTCAGGGGCATCGCTTGCTGCCTTGTTTCCTCAGGGGCATCGCTTGCTGCCTTGTTTCCTCAGGGGCATCACTTGCTGCCTTGTTTCCTCAGGGGCATCGCTTGCTGCCTTGTTTCCTCAGGGGCATCGCTTGCTGCCTTGTTTCCTCAGGGGCATCACTTGCTGCCTTGTTTCCTCAGGGGCATCACTTGCTGCCTTGTTTCCTCAGGGGCATCACTTGCTGCCTTGTTTCCTCAGGGGCATCACTTGCTGCCTTGTTTCCTCAGGGGCATTACTTGCTGCCTTGTTTCCTCAGGGGCATCACTTGCTGCCTTGTTTCCTCAGGGGCATCACTTGCTGCCTTGTTTCCTCAGGGGCATCGCTTGCTGCCTTGTTTCCTCAGGGGCATCACTTGCTGCCTTGTTTCCTCAGGGGCATCACTTGCTGCCTTGTTTCCTCAGGGGCATCACTTGCTGCCTTGTTTCCTCAGGGGCATCACTTGCTGCCTTGTTTCCTCAGGGGCATTACTTGCTGCCTTGTTTCCTCAGGGGCATTACTTGCTGCCTTGTTTCCTCAGGGGCATCACTTGCTGCCTTGTTTCCTCAGGGGCATCGCTTGCTGCCTTGTTTCCTCAGGGGCATCACTTGCTGCCTTGTTTCCTCAGGGGCATCGCTTGCTGCCTTGTTTCCTCAGGGGCATCACTTGCTGCCTTGTTTCCTCAGGGGCATCGCTTGCTGCCTTGTTTCCTCAGGGGCATCGCTTGCTGCCTTGTTTCCTCAGGGGCATCACTTGCTGCCTTGTTTCCTCAGGGGCATCACTTGCTGCCTTGTTTCCTCAGGGGCATCACTTGCTGCCTTGTTTCCTCAGGGGCATCACTTGCTGCCTTGTTTCCTCAGGGGCATTACTTGCTGCCTTGTTTCCTCAGGGGCATCACTTGCTGCCTTGTTTCCTCAGGGGCATCACTTGCTGCCTTGTTTCCTCAGGGGCATCGCTTGCTGCCTTGTTTCCTCAGGGGCATCACTTGCTGCCTTGTTTCCTCAGGGGCATCACTTGCTGCCTTGTTTCCTCAGGGGCATCACTTGCTGCCTTGTTTCCTCAGGGGCATCACTTGCTGCCTTGTTTCCTCAGGGGCATTACTTGCTGCCTTGTTTCCTCAGGGGCATTACTTGCTGCCTTGTTTCCTCAGGGGCATCACTTGCTGCCTTGTTTCCTCAGGGGCATCGCTTGCTGCCTTGTTTCCTCAGGGGCATTACTTGCTGCCTTGTTTCCTCAGGGGCATCGCTTGCTGCCTTGTTTCCTCAGGGGCATTACTTGCTGCCTTGTTTCCTCAGGGGCATCGCTTGCTGCCTTGTTTCCTCAGGGGCATCGCTTGCTGCCTTGTTTCAATGTAGTCACTGGCTATAGTAGCCCTAGTGTAGGAGGGCGCCCTATCAATGTAGGCGCTCAAGGAGAGAACAGGGTGCTCCAGATGACATGACATCCAGATGACATGACATCCAGATGACATGACATCCAGATGACATGACTATATGGGCACCATTGATTCAAACTGTACCACTGACCCCCTGCGCAGGACACCCAATCAGCAGGGGAACTCAGGGTGCCCAACCCCACACTACGGCCCCCAACCCCACACTACGGCCCCCAACCCCACACTACGGCCCCCAACCCCACACTACGGCCCCCAACCCCACACTACGGCCCCCAACCCCACACTACGGCCCCCAACCCCACACTACGGCCCCCAACCCCACACTACGGCCCCCAACCCCACACTACGGCCCCCAACCCCACACTACGGCCCCCAACCCCACACTACGGCCCCCAACCCCACACTACGGCCCCCAACCCCACACTACGGCCCCCAACCCCACACTACGGCCCCCAACCCCACACTACGGCCCCCAACCCCACACTATGGCCCCCAACCCTACACTACGGCCCCCAACCCCACACTACGGCCCCCAACCCCACACTACGGCCCCCAACCCCACACTACGGCCCCCAACCCCACACTACGGCCCCCAACCCCTATATATCTAGCTCCTGGCATTTACAACTGGAAATATCTAGTTCCTGGCATTTACAACTGGAAATATCTAGTTCCTGGCATTTACAACTGGACATATCTAGTTCCTGGCATTTACAACTGGAAATATCTAGTTCCTGGCATTTACAACTGGAAATATCTAGCTCCTGGCATTTAAAACTGGACATATCTAGTTCCTGGCATTTACAACTGGACATATCTAGTTCCTGGCATTTACAACTGGAAATATCTAGCTCCTGGCATTTACAACTGGACATATCTAGTTCCTGGCATTTACAACTGGACATATCTAGTTCCTGGCATTTACAACTGGAAATATCTAGTTCCTGGCATTTACAACTGGAAATATCTAGTTCCTGGAATTTACAACTGGACATATCTAGTTCCTGGCATTTACAACTGGAAATATCTAGCTCCTGGCATTTACAACTGGAAATATCTAGTTCATGGCATTTACAACTGGACATATCTAGTTCCTGGCATTTACAACTGGAAATATCTAGCTCCTGGCATTTACAACTGGACATATCTAGTTCCTGGCATTTACAACTGGACATATCTAGTTCCTGGCATTTACAACTGGAAATATCTAGTTCCTGGCATTTACAACTGGAAATATCTAGTTCCTGGAATTTACAACTGGACATATCTAGTTCCTGGCATTTACAACTGGAAATATCTAGCTCCTGGCATTTACAACTGGAAATATCTAGTTCCTGGCATTTACAACTGGAAATATCTAGCTCCTGGCATTTACAACTGGAAATATCTAGTTCCTGGCATTTACAACTGGAAATATCTAGTTCCTGGCATTTACAACTGGAAATATCTAGCTCCTGGCATTTACAACTGGACATATCTAGTTCCTGGCATTTACAACTGGACATATCTAGTTCCTGGCATTTACAACTGGAAATATCTAGTTCCTGGCATTTACAACTGGACATATCTAGCTCCTGTCATTTACAACTGGAAATATCTAGTTCCTGGCATTTACAACTGGAAATATCTAGTTCCTGGAATTTACAACTGGACATATCTAGTTCCTGGCATTTACAACTGGAAATATCTAGCTCCTGGCATTTACAACTGGAAATATCTAGTTCCTGGCATTTACAACTGGAAATATCTAGCTCCTGGCATTTACAACTGGAAATATCTAGTTCCTGGCATTTACAACTGGAAATATCTAGTTCCTGGCATTTACAACTGGACATATCTAGTTCCTGGCATTTACAACTGGAAATATCTAGCTCCTGGCATTTACAACTGGACATATCTAGTTCCTGGCATTTACAACTGGAAATATCTAGTTCCTGGCATTTACAACTGGAAATATCTAGCTCCTGGCATTTACAACTGGAAATATCTAGTTCCTGGCATTTACAACTGGAAATATCTAGTTCCTGGCATTTACAACTGGAAATATCTAGCTCCTGGCATTTACAACTGGACATATCTAGTTCCTGGCATTTACAACTGGAAATATCTAGCTCCTGGCATTTACAACTGGAAATATCTAGCTCCTGGCATTTACAACTGGAAATATCTAGCTCCTGGCATTTACAACTGGACATATCTAGTTCCTGGCATTTACAACTGGACATATCTAGTTCCTGGCATTTACAACTGGAAATATCTAGTTCCTGGCATTTACAACTGGAAATATCTAGTTCCTGGCATTTACAACTGGAAATATCTAGCTCCTGGCATTTACAACTGGAAATATCTAGTTCCTGGCATTTACAACTGGAAATATCTAGCTCCTGGCATTTACAACTGGAAATATCTAGCTCCTGGCATTTACAACTGGACATATCTAGTTCCTGGCATTTACAACTGGAAATATCTAGTTCCTGGCATTTACAACTGGAAATATCTAGTTCCTGGCATTTACAACTGGAAATATCTAGTTCCTGGCATTTACAACTGGACATATCTAGTTCCTGGCATTTACAACTGGAAATATCTAGTTCCTGGCATTTACAACTGGAAATATCTAGTTCCTGGCATTTACAACTGGAAATATCTAGCTCCTGGCATTTACAACTGGAAATATCTGCCCATTTAGCAGTTTTTAATATAATAACCTACAAGGGACTAAGGGAGTCAACCAAGTGAATGTTTTTAATTAAATCATCACAGCTTGGTAAATTTGAAAACTTTTTTGTGGAATGTCAGGCTAAGCAGGTTAATGTCAGGCTAACTAGGTTAAGTTCAGGCTAACTAGGTTAATTTCAGGCTAACTAGGTTAAGTTCAGGCTAACTAGGTTAATTTCAGGCTAACTAGGTTAAGTTCAGGCTAACTAGGTTAAGTTCAGGCTAACTAGGGTAAGTTCAGGCTAACTAGGTTAAGTTCAGGCTAACTAGGTTAAGTTCAGGCTAACTAGGTTAAGTTCAGGCTAACTAGGTTAAGTTCAGGCTAACTAGGTTAAGTTCAGGCTAACTAGGTTAAGTTCAGGCTAACTAGGTTAAGTTCAGGCTAACTAGGTTAAGCAGATGAATGCTACTAAGTAGATGTGTCCATTACCTTGTTGATGTAAGTACTTGATTGCTTCAGCAAGACTTGACATCACAACTTTGGTGTCAGATTCTGTCAAATGACCTCGACCTTTTAAGAGTTTGGCCAGATCCCCCCCTTCACACAACTCCATCATTAGGTACATTTTCTGCAGAGGTCAAATAGGTACATTTTCTGCAGAGGTCAAATAGGTACATTTTCTGCAGAGGTCAAATATGTACATTTTCTGCAGAGGTCAAATAGGTACATTTTCTGCAGAGGTCAAATAGGTACATTTTCTGCAGAGGTCAAATAGGTACATTTTCTGCAGAGGTCAAAACTTTATGGAGACCAGAAATAGGGAATTCAATTCAACAACTGACCTTTCTTAGATAGAATGGTTGAACTGTGGACCTTTCTTAGATAGAATGGTTGAACTGTGGACCTTTCTTAGATAGAATGATTGAACTATGGACCTTTCTTAGATAGAATGATTGAACTATGGACCTTACTGAGATTGAATGATTGAACTATGGACCTTTCTTAGATAGAATGGTTGAACTATGGACCTTTCTTAGATAGAATGGTTGAACTGTGGACCTTTCTTAGATAGAATGGTTGAACTATGGACCTTTCTTAGATAGAATGGTTGAACTGTGGACCTTTCTTAGATAGAATGGTTGAACTGTGGACCTTTCTTAGATAGAATGGTTGAACTATGGACCTTTCTTAGATAGAATGGTTGAACTATGGACCTTTCTTAGATAGAATGGTTGAACTATGGACCTTTCTTAGATAGAATGGTTGAACTATGGACCTTTCTTAGATAGAATGGTTGAACTGTGGACCTTTCTTAGATAGAATGGTTGAACTGTGGACCTTTCTTAGATAGAATGATTGAACTATGGACCTTACTGAGATTGAATGATTGAACTATGGACCTTTCTTAGATAGAATGATTGAACTATGGACCTTTCTTAGAATGATTGAACTATGGAGCTTTCTTAGATAGAATGATTGAACTATGGACCTTTCTTAGATAGAATGATTGAACTATGGACCTTACTGAGATTGAATGATTGAACTATGGACCTTTCTTAGATAGAATGATTGAACTATGGACCTTTCTTAGATAGAATGATTGAACTATGGACCTTTCTTAGATAGAATGATTGAACTATGGACCTTACTGAGATTGAATGATTGAACTATGGACCTTTCTTAGATAGAATGATTGAACTATGGACCTTTCTAGATTGAATGATTGAACTATGGACCTTTCTTAGATAGAATGATTGAACTATGGACCTTTCTTAGATAGAATGATTGAACTATGGACCTTTCTAAGATTGAATGATTGAACTATGGACCTTTCTAGATTGAATGATTGAACTATGGACCTTTCTTAGATAGAATGATTGAACTGTGGACCTTTCTTAGATAGAATGGTTGAACTATGGACATTTCTTAGATAGAATGGTTGAACTATGGACCTTTCTTAGATAGAATGGTTGAACTATGGACCTTTCTTAGATAGAATGATTGAACTATGGACCTTTCTTAGATAGAATGATTGAACTATGGACCTTTCTAAGATTGAATGATTGAACTATGGACCTTTCTAGATTGAATGATTGAACTATGGACCTTTCTTAGATAGAATGATTGAACTGTGGACCTTTCTTAGATAGAATGGTTGAACTATGGACATTTCTTAGATAGAATGGTTGAACTATGGACCTTTCTTAGATAGAATGGTTGAACTATGGACCTTTCTTAGATAGAATGATTGAACTATGGACCTTTCTTAGATAGAATGATTGAACTATGGACCTTTCTTAGATAGAATGGTTGAACTATGGACCTTTCTTAGATAGAATGGTTGAACTGTGGACCTTTCTTAGATAGAATGGTTGAACTGTGGACCTTTCTTAGATAGAATGGTTGAACTATGGACCTTTCTTAGATAGAATGGTTGAACTATGGACCTTTCTTAGATAGAATGGTTGAACTGTGGACCTTTCTTAGATAGAATGGTTGAACTATGGACCTTTCTTAGATAGAATGGTTGAACTGTGGACCTTTCTTAGATAGAATGGTTGAACTGTGGACCTTTCTTAGATAGAATGGTTGAACTATGGACCTTTCTTAGATAGAATGATTGAACTATGGACCTTACTGAGATTGAATGATTGAACTATGGACCTTTCTTAGATAGAATGATTGAACTATGGACCTTTCTTAGATAGAATGATTGAACTATGGACCTTTCTTAGATAGAATGATTGAACTATGGACCTTACTGAGATTGAATGATTGAACTATGGACCTTTCTTAGATAGAATGATTGAACTATGGACCTTTCTAGATTGAATGATTGAACTATGGACCTTTCTTAGATAGAATGATTGAACTATGGACCTTTCTAGATTGAATGATTGAACTATGGACCTTTCTTAGATAGAATGATTGAACTGTGGACCTTTCTTAGATAGAATGGTTGAACTATGGACATTTCTTAGATAGAATGGTTGAACTATGGACCTTTCTTAGATAGAATGGTTGAACTATGGACCTTTCTTAGATAGAATGGTTGAACTATGGACCTTTCTTAGATAGAATGGTTGAACTATGGACCTTTCTTAGATAGAATGGTTGAACTATGGACCTTTCTTAGATAGAATGGTTGAACTGTGGACCTTTCTTAGATAGAATGGTTGAACTGTGGACCTTTCTTAGATAGAATGGTTGAACTGTGGACCTTTCTTAGATAGAATGATTGAACTATGGACCTTTCTTAGATAGAATGATTGAACTATGGACCTTTCTTAGATAGAATGATTGAACTATGGACCTTACTGAGATTGAATGATTGAACTATGGACCTTTCTTAGATAGAATGATTGAACTATGGACCTTTCTAGATTGAATGATTGAACTATGGACCTTTCTTAGATAGAATGATTGAACTATGGACCTTTCTTAGATAGAATGGTTGAACTGTGGACCTTTCTTAGATAGAATGGTTGAACTATGGACCTTTCTTAGATAGAATGATTGAACTGTGGACCTTTCTAAGATTGAATGATTGAACTATGGACCTTTCTAAGATTGAATGATTGAACTATGGACCTTTCTAAGATTGAATGATTGAACTATGGACCTTTCTTAGATAGAATGATTGAACTATGGACCTTTCTAATATTGAATGATTGAACTATGGACCTTTCTAAGATCGGATGATTGAGCTATGGACCTTTCTACTATGGAATGATTGAACTATGGACCTTTCTTACCTTAGGAGACTCAACAACCTCCTTAAGATGAATAATGTTTCTATGATCAACTTTTTTAAAAATTGAAACTTCCTTTTCAAGTTGTCGAATTCCAGAGCTCCCTGCCTGTAATCAAATAGAATTGTTGAATCACAATTAAACTAATAGTATATATCGAGGTCTCGGTCGCAAACCATCTATATAAAAAAATTCAACTTTCTTTTTTTTTTACATAAATCAAAAGCCAGTATCATTCCCCATAACGCCTGAAAATATTATAGAAATCTGTAGAATGATTATCAAGATATAAATGTTTAAACAAACCGTCTATTATTTCAAAGCGCTAAAAATCTCGGCGCAAAACGAATATAGCTATATTTGTAAGTACACTTTTGATCAGAAACGCAGTCGCACGCTGCAAGCACACAGTTTTACACCACAGCAGTTACAGTACTTATAGGAAAGGATGTTTGATTAATTATGTTCAGCCATTCTATAACATTTTATCATTTTAAAGAATAATAAACAAATAAAATTTGTTTAATATAGATCTAGCCTATTTTCAGATTTTCAATGACCAAACTGATTTGTTTACAATTTTTTAGGGTAACACAATGCTTTGAAACTAAATCTTTATTCTAGAATCTAAATATTAATCAAAACAATATTATTCTAATTATATTTCCACAAGATTGTGCAATAAATTTAATTATTTTTTATTCACTACTAGCTTTAGATTGAGGTTTTATCTACGTGTTAAGAAATGTTTTTTATGTTTTTACAAAATGTTTGGCGTAAATTAAATGTTTAACGACATGGTTAGTTGTCTTTAGTAAATGCTTTTATGATTAATTTTTCAACAGACAAGCCTCACTCAACACACCAGCCTCTCACAACAAACCAGCCTCTCTCAACAGACCAGTCTTACCATACAAGACACCTGCTTCTCTCAACAGACCAGCCTTTCACAACAGACCAGTCATAACATACAAAAGACCAAACTGTCTAAAATGACCAATCTTACCATACAGGACACCAGAATATCTCAACAAACTAGTCTAACCCTCTAAGACACCAGCAATTCTCAACAGACCAATCTTACCCTCCAAGACACCAGCCTCTCTCAACAGACCAGCCTCTCTCAACAGACCAGCCTCTCTCAACAGACCAGCCTCTCTCCAGCCTCTCTCAACAGACCAGCCTCTCTCCAGCCTCTCTCAACAGACCAGCCTCTCTCAACAGACCAGTCTTACCATACAAGAAACCAGGCTCTTTCAAAAGATTAGTCTGATCATACAATAGAGAAGCCTCTCTCAACACACCAGTCTCACCATACAATAGACCAGCCTCACATAACAGACAATAGACACCAACCTCTCTCAAAAAGACCAGCCTTACCATACAAGAGACCAGCCACTCTCAAAAGACCAGTCAGACCTATCAAGAATTCAATGTGACAAATATTCATGCACTACAGTACAACCATGATGCTTCTATCTACTTCAAAGTGAATTAGCAGATAGCTGGCAATTGCTAAACTAGGCTCGTAGGATTATGATCTCATCTGTAGCCCCTGACAAGTAGTACAAGAGCAGAAAAAGATAAAAGCCTAAAAGCAAGTCATAAATACACATTTTTATGATGATTTGCCTGATTTTAAAAATATGTTGCCATTTTAATGTTTCTTCATGTGACGTTTATTTAAAGAATAAATTTTAAAAATAAACACATTTTTTGTTACATTTTGTAAAATAAGTAAACATTAAGTCATTATTAATGTGATTAATGTGTGATGTCTCATTCATAATATATCTGACAATAAAGTTTATATTTTTACTATTATCATTCTACAAACCCAGCACCCACCAGACTTAGTAAAATAAATGGTGTGAATAGAAAGATGTAATAAATAAAGCATAACCTTCAACAGTTAACATGTCTAGTGCTAAATACAGACATAATGAATAAACAGTCGAAAGCCATAAAGCCGTACTAAAACATCTCTACTAAAAATTAAACTGACCCCATAATGTAGAATAAACTCAAATAATTTAAATATGAGCCCAAAACTAATCTAAATATTATGAAGTGTTAATTATAACTTAAAAACATAAACATAACTAAATCACGTTCATTGGACAAAACGAACGAACGCGGCTGAGACCGAAATTCTCGGTTCAAAACAGCTAAGTCTGCGCGCACAGAGATAGACGGTTTGGCAGCGAGAGTTTTAGACCAAACAAAACCGACTATCTTTTAAACCTGCTAAAATTTTGTAAATATTAACAAAACTCATTTTAAAATGCTACAGTATAGTCGGTAGAGAGTTTCTTCGCACTTATCATTAAAAAAAAAAATTGTATTAGAGCGATCAACAAAGAAATAATCAGTTGTTTGTCTCTCCTGTAAAATTTACATTTTTGGATTTATACGGTTTGCAACCGAGAACCATCTATATGCTTATATGATTAGAGATCATAGAGACCATATATATATATATATATATATATATATATATATATATATATATATATATATATATATATATATATATATATATATATATATATATATATATATATATATATATATATAAAGAGAGAAAGAGAAAGAGAGAGAGAGAGTCAGAGATAAATAGGCAATTGTATATAGTTCTGATGTATTTCCATTCGCTGCTAACCCTACAACTTACTTTTTCTTTGACAATCTCCTTAATGGCCACAGTTTCTCCTGTCTTGATGTGATGAGCTCTATACACTTTACCAAAGGAGCCTTCTCCCAAGATCTCTCCAAACACGTACTCTTTGTGCACATCTTCGTCTTCCATGCGGGTATGGAGTATGGTGCGCTCTGCACTGTTCTTGCGAGAGTTTCGCTGGGCAGTGGCAAGTGTCAAACTCTTGTTGCTAGTACTGCTACTGCTGTTCATCATAGGGCTTGTAGCCAACAGTCGAGAGGCATCAAGAGATTTGTCTTCCTTATCTGACATGGCCACACAAGCTGTCACATTGTTTCTGGTAAATAGACAAGTCTTCGTGTTACATTTGGCACCAAGTGACCTACTGTATGACAGCCAATCTTTAAACTTTGGCACCAAGTGACCTACTGTATGGCAGCCAATCTTTAAACTTTGGCACCAAGTGACCTACTGTATGGCAGCCAATCTTTAAACTTTGGCACCAAGTGACCTACTGTATGACAGCCAATCTTTAAACTTTGGCACCAAGTGACCTACTGTATGGCAGCCAATCTTTTAACTTTGGCACCAAGTGACCTACTGTATGGTAGCCAATCTTTAAACTTTGGCACCAAGTGACCTACTGTATGACAGCCAATCTTTAAACTTTGGCACCAAGTGACCTACTGTATGACAGCCAATCTTTAAACTTTGGCACCAAGTGACCTACTGTATGACAGCCAATCTTTAAACTTTGGCACCAAGTGACCTACTGACACAGAGGCAGGACTGTCATGGGGGACTGCCAGGAAAATTGCCGGTGACCGACAAAAGTGGAGGGAGTGCGTCTCAGGCACAAAAAGGAAAAGTTGAAGATGACATGGAGACAAGCATGGCTAAAAGTGTCCATAGAATTGAGTACAAGTAATTGTGGAAAGCAGCACGTTTTTTCATACATAAAATAGTCCTTCAAAATTTTATCTGTGTGATCACGCTTTCAATAAATAACAGTTTTAAATAGTAGCACATATCACAGTCACAAACTTTGTGAAGGACATTTCAGATTGCCAACAAACATCATCCAAATGTGTCAAACCACCACATTTCAGATTGCCAACAAACATCATCCAAATGTGTCAAACCACCACATTTCAGATTGCCAACAAACATCATCCAAATGTATCAAACCACCACATTTCAGATTGCCAACAAACATCATCCAAATGTGTCAAACCACCACATTTCAGATTGCCAACAAACATCATCCAAATATGTCAAACCACCACATGTCAGATTGCCAACAAACATCATCCAAATATGTCAAACCACCACATTTCAGATTGCCAACAAACATCATCCAAATGTATCAAACCACCACATTTCAGATTGCCAACAAACATCATCCAAATGTATCAAACCACCACATTTCAGATTGCCAACAAACATCATCCAAATGTATCAAACCACCACATTTCAGATTGCCAACAAACATCATCCAAATATGTCAAACCGGATACATATTTTTCAAGCTGCACGCCTTTAACGTCGACAACAATACAACCAGAGGTTGATGTGTCTGAAGATACCCAAGTACAAAATATGCAAGCAACCACATCATCTCATAAGCAGAATCAGGGCGTTGAGACTCAAGACAAAAAGTTATTGTCCTAAGATATTTTAGCTGACATCCGATTTAGAAGACGATATTGACAGAACAATGTAAGTCAAACTTAATGCTATAATTGATACAAATCCGGAATATCCTACAGATCCTTATTTGTTTAGTGATGAACCTCTGATACCGGATCTAGTGCATGAATTACTTGAATTTGGTCAACCAGGCCTCAAAGATATCTATCAAGATGTTTCCAAAAATGTAACTTGTTGGCACTTTAAGTGCCAGTTGGTACAAGGAAAAAACCAATATGATATGTGGGCGGGAAAAAATACGACACTCGCAGGTATATTCGCCCAAGGCAAATAATATGATTTGTTTTGCTAGTTGTCTTTTAAACACAAGTCATACACCTGGGGTGATCCAAAACTGGGTTGTGGAAACTTTGCAAAAGGTCCAGGCAAAATTGAGAAACACGGAAACTAAAAAAAAAACAAGATTGCAGAGAAAGAACTTTTTCTTAAGAAATTTCGATTTTTTCAAGACAGAAACGTAGTATGTGGCATTTTAACAGCAGAAAAGAAGGAAATAGAAAAAAACAGGATAATACTTGAAAGTATTATCGATGCAGTTCTCTATTTAGGGGCCCTTGTGAATCGCAAGGTTTAGGAGGAGCTACATTAAATGAAGGCGACTTTTTGGAACTTATTAAGCTCCTAACTAAGAAGGATGATTTGCTAAAACAACATATAATTTTTGGAGACAGAAATGCAGCATAGGTGAAATTAAAATAGTTAGGTATTTCGCTGTGATTGTAGATTCAACTATCAACATTAGCAGAAAAGATCAATTTTCTTTCACTGTCACATATGTTACAGAACACGGAGACACCATCGAAAAATGTATTCAATTTTGTGAGCCTTCTGAAGCTAGCGCAGAGTTTTTTTTTTTTTTCAAACAGCTTTTAGAGCATTAACAGATTTAGGGCTGTCAATGACCATGTGCTGTGGTCAGTCCTACGATGGAGCAAACACCATGTCTGGTGAATCATCAGGCCTACAAAAACAACTTAGGGAAATAGCTCAACATACACTCTTTACACACTACAGTGCTAATAATGTAGAACAAAATTGTTATCAAATGTGTTTAAATAGGACATAGTAATTAATGGATTTTTTTCAATTTAATTTAAAATTAAGATCATTTGGAAAACTGAGTAAGCAAAAACAATATCGGTCAAAGCCCGGAGTGCGGCAAAAGTGCGCATTGGCCAGGACGTACTGGCCGAAGTCTGAAGCGCTTAAACTTGAAAACGTATTTTGTACATTGGCCGGCCAATACGTGCACTGGCTGGGATGTCCTGGCCAATGTCCTATCTAGACTAAGTTGTGATCGCATTTTCATTATTCTGGGTGCGGTTTCATTGTGAGTAACGTATTGTTTGGCTCTTGTTTGTATAGCGTTCTATATGATATATGCAATGCGACATGGACCAAAAGAGCCGTAAGACCAAGAGACAGACATACCAGATGGCTGCCAAAATATTTCTGAATTAAAGGAAATGTGGCCTGAAATTTAACTAGTTCACTGAAAAAACCAAAGTCTGCTCATAATCTCCTAATTTACACTTTGGCTGGTCGTCCCTAGCCAGATGATCTTCTAATTTACACTTTGGCTGGTCGTCCCTAGCCAGATAATCTTCTAATTTACACTTTGGCTGGTCGTCCCTAGCCAGATAATCTTCTAATTTACACTTTGGCTGGTCGTCCCTAGCCAGATGATCTTCTAATTTACACTTTGGCTGGTCGTCCCTAGCCAGATGATCTTCTAATTTACACTTTGGCTGGTCGTCCCTAGCCAGATGATCTTCTAATTTACACTTTGGCTGGTCGTCCCTAGCCAGATGATCTTCTAATTTACACTTTGGCTGGTCGTCCCTAGCCAGATGATCTTCTAATTTGGACTTGGCTGGCCCACATGGCCAGTCTGTGGATTGGCCGGCCAAAGGCCAAAATCAAGAGCCATTTCAGACTTTGGCCGGTCCACCGTGGTCAGTAGGTGGATTGGCCTGCCAAAGGGCCAAATTCAAGTAAACTTTTGGACTTTGACCAGTCAATGGGAGGCGATATCGGCCAATAAGCTCTTTGGCCGACTTCAGGCTTTGATCGTAACATATATATATATATATATATATATATATATATATATATATATATATATATATATATATATATATATATATATATAAATACTTATATAGATCATGTGTTAAAATTTGTGTGCCTTTTTCTCTCTTTTGCACTCGCCCTACACTGAAAACCTAGATATGCCTCTGATTATAGGCTTATTTAAGCCCTAATTATTTATTATATAATTATTTATATGTTACATTGTTTACTGATTAATTACTCAATTACTGTAGTAGTAAGTGGGTTAATGGACCTTACAGAGGATAGCCTCGAAGTTACTTGAGGGGCCTATTAAATATTTTGAAAATAAGTAAAATTTTAAAAAGTTTATTAAAAGTTTAAGTAAAGTTAATATTTTAATAATGAATATGGTTATAAAATCCTGAATGTTTTTTTTATCATACAAAATGTAAACAAAAATGGCTAAACTAAGTCATGTGGTTTAAAATTACATCATTTTATTTAAAACCTTTATTGGCAAAGTTGTGTAACAAATAACTGATATGTTGGGCTGTAAGTAAAAATGTGCTTAATCTTACCCAAATAAGTAATAGATATTTGAAAGTTAACTTTATTTACTGTTGTAAAGTGAGATAAACAGCTTAGTAAACACGTGTTTTCTTGAGGGGGTGTGGCCCGGGTGTGGCACATTGTAATTATAACTTTATATTTCTGTGTTTTAAGACTATATTTGTACACAATCAGCATCTTATGCTTTTTAAATTGATAAAGGGTAAGTATACCAAGTTACAAAACCTGCAATCTAACTAATAATTAATATAGTTTGAATTTAAAAAATAATATAAACGATCATCAATGAAGAAAGCGTAAATATTTTATTTTAAGTTATGACATTAAAAAATAGTCATAAAGCTAGCCAAATGAATGAATTCTTGCACTGAAAACTGTTTCCTGTGCACCAAAAAAGATCATATTAATAAAATGGCATTAGCGGTATTGCAGTATTTTTGAGTTATTTGATTTGAAAAACAAGAATACATAGGTCAAAAGTACATCTGGCCTGACAATTCTTAAATAACAGACTTAAATAGAAACGGGTAGTTCCAATTTCTTACATTGACGACGGCTTCATAATCATTAGTTTTATTTCTCTACCACATAGTGAAAGCAAAAATGGTCACCATTTTAGTAATGCACTTCTAGAACATGGGCAGTGTGATGTCTTCAAAACAAACAAACCCTGAAGCTTTCTATTGAATGGCCTAAGTTTTTAATTATTTTTACAGTTGTTTTAATTGCAAAATCTAAACAAAAACCACGTTATTAATCCTAGTCAACAATCAATAAGATAGATGGAAGGATTCTGGTCAACTTGGTGGTGTCCATTCATTAAATTTTAAATAAATAATACTATAGGGTAGGCCTAATTTTAAATTTATTAAATTATGACTAGGATCACTAGGTAGTACTACAGTTACAATAGAGGAGGTACGCCTACTAAAAATTATTAAGTCTAAGGTCTAAGCTAAGAGTAGAACTAAGCCTAAAAAATTGCCTAAGCCCTTGTTCAATTTGTTGCCTTTCTTTATTTATATACTTAGCTGCTTAGCAAGTCCAGTGACTACTTTTACTACTTTACTACTGAGTAACTAATCATACCAAGACAAGTATTATATTATTATATTATTTATATGTAGTACTATGTAGCAGTCGGTTATTTTAATCCTTTGGCTAGATCTTATCTAGATCTACATCCTTTTTTTAAAAAAAAAAACCAAATGGCAAAAGTTAATAGAGACGAACATTAATCAATAAAGGAAGTGTTGGTCTCCATAGGCGCTTTCTTGGATTCGCCAAGTTTAATAAAATGCATTTGGCGCATGCGCAAAACCATTTCAACTTTGTCAAGGGAGCAGTTATTAAATTTTATAACAAAGGAAGTACAAAAAAAAAAAAAAAAAAAAAATTCTAGCAAAATAAACCGCGACTCCGCATCGTTGAAGTTGATGACATCATCTTTTCCTTTTTGTGCCGAAGACACACGGGGTGGCCAAAGAAAACTTTTTCCACTTTTGCCGGTCCCTGTCAATTTTCTTGGCAGTTTCTTAAAAATAGTCCTGCTTTTGTCAGTTGTTTTTCTGAAAATGATACTGTAAACTGTTTCGCAGATCTAGATCTGTATTATATAAAAGCAAATTAGGGAATGTCTGTTCTTCACAGCGGAATTAGATCAGGTATTGGCAGGCCCGTTTCCGAGGAAATTTTCTTAACAAAGTGGGCAACTAAAATTCAATCAAGAAAACTGACCAAGACAGACTGCCTTATTAAAACTAAGCATTTATTAAGTTCTTGAATTAGATCGACCTCTTGCAGATGCGACACATACTTGAACTTTGTTAAGGAGATCGCTCTAATGCCATTGGCACCTGGAAAGCTACCAGATTCTCAGAAATGCCATATTAAGGTAACTATGAGTGGTTAAAATTAAAACATGTTTGATTTTTGACATTAATGATTACTCCCCTCGAGTTCGAATCCGGGTTTTAAGTCAGTGGAACGTCTCTGAGTCAGAGTTTCTTCCAGGCATCGAAATTTTTTTACCGCCCCCCCCCCCCCCCGAACGAAATGAAATTTATATAATTTATATAGAAAATATATACTTTTAACAGTGTCCGCCCCCCCCCCCCCGAAGAAAGTTTGCTGCCCCCCCCCCCCCCCCCCCCCCCCGTAAATTTCAAGTGCCCCCCCCCCCGGAGAAAAAAAGTCTGGAAGAAACACTGCTCTGAGTCCTTCCATCTCTGATGTGTACTGTTGTAAAAGCGGCAGGGCATAGTGCTGCCCACATTATTCCTACATATGCCGAGGTCAAGAAACAAGAACACAACTAAATCTGCCTAATGGAGTGGATAGGTCTAAAAATGAATTTTTACTTTCGGCCGATTCTAGCCGGAAAAAAGATACGTATGCGCAATGGAGAGAAACTTGATAAATTCACATGCGTTTTTTTTTTTTTTTTGAGAAATATGAAATAGCGAAAATTACTACTTCCGGTCACGGAAATTACTCAAAATTTGATAGAAGGCAGAGAATTATATCTTTTACTTGTATGTGAAATTTCATTTATCTATCTGAAATAGTACTAAAGTTATTGGATTTTGAAATATTGAAAGTAGAAAAAGTTCCACTTCCTGTTATCGGAAATCGCTGAAAAGTTGAAACGGATCAATAAATTTGATATACTTATATATGACTATATTAAATTTCATCACCCTAGCTGTAACGGTACTCAAGTTATCGTGTTTACAGACACACATACACAGACATTCGGACAAGATTGCAAAATTATGTTTTTCTGACTCAGGGAGGTGTAAAACGTCGAGATTTTCAAAAATCTCGATTTTTTTTTGCACCATTACAATACTTTCTCTATACTGAGTAGGCCTTTACTATATACGAGAAAGTATAAAGCCTTGACGTTTTTAAAACTGCAGAGGTTTTTTTTTTTCTCCAAAATTGTTTTCATAGAAACTTTCGAATAGTATTGCTTATGTATGCAATTTCCCCCATCGAAATGAAGTGTTACTACTGTTATTCGAGTTATTGTGCACACACAGATATAAATGTGGAACTTAGTTTAAGATTTGTTAAAAAAAAAAATTTTCACGGTTACAAAACTTCTCCAACTTTGGCTATATAGCAGGACCTCAATGGTAGGAATTCTTTTGATGATTAGGCCTAAAAGCTTTTCTGCTAAAAAGTTTCATAAAGCGTGTCTTTAGTCTATACTTTAATGGACGCCAGCGAGAAAAGTCTCTAAGGTATTTGAGAGGTCCATAAATTAATTTTAAAATCATGCACGGCGTAGTTACAATTAATATGGTTATAAAATCCTGTCTGTCTGGTTTTTTTCAGATTTTACTAAAGATTGGATGTATTTGATGTTTTTGATTTTCACGTGTAATGGCGACATAAATTTTATTGTACACATTGTAAGCTAAAAAAAGAAAAACTAGGTCAAGGGGTTTAAATTTGCATTGTTATTTAAAAACTTAATCTGCAAAGTTTTGTAAACAAATCAAAAAACTATAAAGTGGGGCTGTCAGAAATCGATCACATAGTTCCTGTACAGCCAATCAATGTTTGTCTTACGAAAGTGAAACATCGGTTTATAACTCTGGCTTGATGAAAATAAATAGAAATGTAGCCTTAAACTCAACAAATTATTTTCAAGGTCTCTGGATCTGCAAATTTATAACATTGATTCTAAAAATATTAAATTTCTGAATTAATTTTAGGCTTAAGTTTTTATTTTTTTTATTATTTTTACGGTCCCAAGTCTAAAAAAAGCACGTTTTTATTCCATGTCAACAACATTATGAAAGGATTCTCGTCAACTCGCTGGTGTCCATTCAAAGCACTTGTGGTTACAAACTTTGAATGTCGCATATGACAACACAGACTATTGATTCAATCATTCATAGTCATAGTGCTATTAAACAACAAAGAAAAACACATAAATTAGTAATAAATGTGAAAACAAAACTGCAGTTTTTTTTTCCTTTTTATGTTTTAATAAAATATAAATATTATAAACAATATTTAGGTGTCTTGCTGACTCTGAAACTGCCTCATGCCGTCTCCCTGACCGCTGTATTTAAAGCAGGGATGTCTTTGTATGGTGAAGTTTTTCAAGTAGTTTTTCCATTCGTCTGGCCTGGGGAGAATTCTAGAAAAAAAAATATACACTGTGAAATATAATTAACACGAAACAATGAACAAAAAAAATATACACTGTGAAATATACTTAACACGAAACAATGAACAAAAAAAAATATACACTGTGAAATATAATTAACACGAAACAATGAACAAAAAAAAATATACACTGTGAAATATAATTAACACGAAACAATGAACAAAAAAAATATACACTGTGAAATATACTTAACACGAAACAATGAACAAAAAAAAATATACACTGTGAAATATACTTAACACGAAACAATGAACAAAAAAAATATACACTGTGAAATATACTTAACACGAAACAATGAACAAAAAAAATATACACTGTGAAATATACTTAACACGAAACAATGAACAAAAAAAATATACACTGTGAAATATACTTAACACGAAACAATGAACATAAAAAATATACACTGTGAAATATACTTAACACGAAACAATGAACAAAAAAAATATACACTGTGAAATATACTTAACACGAAACAATGAACAAAAAAAATATACACTGTGAAATATACTTAACACGAAACAATGAACATAAAAAATGAGGTTGAGATCTAATAAGAATGTAATCCAGACTAGCTGTTTTCTTCATACATTGTCTTTCTTAGAAGACGGCGCCGATCCCAGAGTTTCGCAAACATTTGATTGGAGAAAGTCACAGAAATAAAATCACAGAAAAAAGTCTCAAATGTTTATTAAGAAATAATTTGATTTACTTGTTGAAAGTTGTATAGTTTTGGATGTTTTTAAATAAGCATGGTGTTTTTTACCCTGTTTTTTTAGAGGAAGTATGGTAATCGAGCAACAAATCGAAATCAAGAATTCCACAAATCTTGACATTTTATATCTCCATGAACCGGAAAAACATTAAGTTTTGCAATTTCGTCCGGATGTCTGTGTGTGTGTGTGTGTGTGTGAACACGATAACTTGAGTACCGTTGCAGCTAGGTTGATGAAATTTCATTTATAATTATAAGTATTATTAGTATTATATCAAATTCTTAGTTCTTTATAAACTTTTCAGAGATTTCCGGTTCCTACTTTTGGCTTTTCAGTAATTTCAGTACTGTTTCAGATAGATAGACAATATTTCACATATCAATAAAATATCTAATCCTTTACATTCTGTCAAATTTTGAGTAATTTCTGTTGATCGGAAGTAGTAGTAGTAAAGTTCCCTTTCAAACATGATGGTCTATGGGGCAAGTGAAGTAGAGTTCACTTGTTTCTGTGACCTCGGCATATGAAGGGATAGTGTGGTCCACAATTTCACATATAAGTAAAAGATCAAATTTTCTGCCTTCTGTCAAACTTTGTGTAATTTCCGTTGACCGGAAGTAGTAATTTACGCTATTTCCGATTTCTCAAAAAACGAAAATGAATTTATTATTTATAATAATAAGTACTAATAATATTCTGCACTATTATACCCATATTGTTTATCATTCACTTGGTGCGCAATTAATTTTTCTACGAGATTCTATTCTATTTTAAAAAGTTAAGTAATTAAAATTTGATTAAAAATCATGTCTATATCCCGCATTGCCATCCACCGTAGTGATATTTAAGAATACTCGAAAAAGTTTAGGGGAGATCACTCTCGTTTTTTTTTAGTACTATATGTTGATTTGCATTTTCTGAGAACGTAATAAATAAAACTATTAAAACTATGGACAAATTCCATGAAAATAAACATTTGTGACTTTTTTCCTACAGTTGTTTAGTCACATTCAGATTACATGTGCGCATACAGAAAATTGCGTGCACAGGAAAAATGTATATTTTAAAATAATAATAAATGCCACATTTTCTAAAATAAATAGAATCATAAATTGCTAAGATGTTCCGATTACAGATACTTTTTGACCAAAGGTGATAAGCCCTAATCTTGTTTGACTACAGCCAAGGGTTGTCCACAGCCAAGGGTTGTCCACAGCCAAGGGTTGACCACAGGCAGTTTGTTCACCGCGGGTGTTGACCAGTGCTGATTTGCATAACTAAGCCTACACCTACACATAAGCCTACACCTACAAATAAACCTACACCTAAACCTACACTTCCATATAAACATACATTTACAGCTACACTTACACGTGCACCAACACCTACCACCGGAACGAATGAGCCCCCCCCCCCACTTGTCTGTCCATATATATAAATATCATGCACTTTCTATTGTCTTTGAAAAACAGTTTTTCGGTTAACTAAACGAGAGATGTGCACACAAAAATATAAGTAGCTCTATTTGAAAATGTCTAAAAGTAAGCAGGATGGTTAGCTGATGTAATAACTTTCAGGGAACGTCACTAATGGGTGACTTCAGTGTACTAGTGACCCCAGTCTATGATGCAATTTCTTAGTGTTCTTTTTTTCTTAGCCTCCCCCCCCCCCCACATTTTTACAACTGGAGAGAGAGAGATATGGTTGGACTGACAGACAGGTGGGTGGGTCAGTCGGTCGACGTGGGTGGGTCAGTCGGTTGACGTAGGTGGGTCAGTCGGTTGACGTAGGTGGGTCAGTCGGTTGACGTAGGTGGGTCAGTCGGTTGACGTGGGTGGGTCAGTCGGTTGACGTGGGTGGGTCAATCGGTCGACGTAGGTGGGTCAGTCGGTCGACGTAGGTGGGTCAGTCGGTCGACGTAGGTGGGTCAGTCGGTCGACGTGGGTGGGTCAGTCGGTTGACGTGGGTGGGTCAATCGGTCGACGTAGGTGGGTCAGTCGGTCGACGTAGGTGGGTCAGTCGGTCGACGTAGGTGGGTCAGTCGGTCGACGTGGGTGGGTCAGTCGGTCGACGTGGGTGGGTCAGTCGGTCGACGTGGGTGGGTCAGTCGGTTGACGTGGGTGGTGGGAGGCGTTGTCTCACAAACCACGTTTGGTCCTATCATCTGATTACACAACCCTGGTTGACAAACTGCCAGTGGACAACCCTTTGATTACACAACCCTGGTTGACAAACTGCCAGTGGACAACCCTTTGATTACACAACCCTGGTTGACAAACTGCCAGTGGACAACCCTTTGATTACACAACCCTGGTTTACAAATTGCCAGTGAACAACCCTTTGATTACACAGCCAGGGTTTACAAACTGCCAGTGGACAACCCTTTGATTACACAACCCTGGTTGACAAACTGCCAGTGGACAACCCTTTGATTACACAGCCCTGGTTGACAAACTGCCAGTGGACAACCCTTTGATTACACAGCCCTGGTTGACAAACTGCCAGTGGACAACCCTTTGATTACACAACCCTGGTTGACAAATTGCCAGTGGACAACCCTTCGCTGTTGTCAAATAACGTGTGGGCCAATCATCTATGGTCGAAACACCTTCGGTCAACAGCATCTATGTGTGTATGATCGGAAAATATCAGCAATTTATGATTCTATGAATTTTAGAAAAAGCGGTGGCATTCAATTTTTAAGTTTAAAATATACATGATTGAGAATATACACAGACCAACTTGAACATGCAAGCATAAAAATACACACATATACACACATAATCACACTCATAATTGATGAAAGATCTGCGTGTCATTTTCTGTGTGTGTAATTTTCTTAATTGCGCATTTTTCTGTGGGCGCATTTCTCTGTGTGTGCACTTTTTGTTTGCGCATTTTTTCCCAGAAGTGAGCAGTGAAACACAATTTCGAACAGCAACGAGTAGACTCTCAAAAGCCGTCAAAAGACCCATTACATAGTTTTGAAAATAATGTGCGACGTTATTAGAATAAATATGGTTATAAAACTTGACTGTTTGGTTTTTATCAAACTTAACTAAAAGAAACTGTATAGGCCTATAGACTAGGCTCGATTTGATGTTTTTAGTAGACTATACTAAATGAAGTTTTAAATATTAAAAAAAAATTTGGTTATTTCCTTTTTGTCACTGAAAATGTACATAAACATGGCATGTGGTTTAAAAAAAGTAAAATTGTATTTAAAAATTGTATTTAGAATTGTATAAAAATTGTATTTAAAAATTGTATTTAGAATTGTATAAAAATTGTATTTTAAAATTGTATTTAGAATTGTATAAAAATTGTATTTAAAAATTGTATTTAGAATTGTATAAAAATTGTATTTAAAAATTGTATTTAGAATTGTATAAAAATTGTATTTTAAAATTGTATTTAGAATTGTATAAAAATTGTATTTAAAAATTGTATTTAGAATTGTATAAAAATTGTATTTTAAAATTGTATTTAGAATTGTATAAAAATTGTATTTAAAAATTGTATTTAGAATTGTATAAAAATTGTATTTAAAAATTGTATTTAAAATTGTATAAAAATTGTATTTTAAAATTGTATTTAGAATTGTATAAAAATTGTATTTAAAAATTGTATTTAGAATTGTATAAAAATTGTATTTAAAAATTGTATTTAGAATTGTATAAAAATTGTATTTTAAAATTGTATTTAGAATTGTATAAAAATTGTATTTAAAAATTGTATTTAGAATTGTATAAAAATTGTATTTAAAAATTGTATTTAGAATTGTATAAAAATTGTATTTTAAAATTGTATTTAGAATTGTATAAAAATTGTATTTAAAAATTGTATTTAGAATTGTATAAAAATTGTATTTAAAAATTGTATTTAGAATAGTATAAAAATTGTATTTTAAAATTGTATTTAGAATTGTATAAAAATTGTATTTAAAAATTGTATTTAGAATTGTATAAAAATTGTATTTAAAAATTGTATTTAGAATTGTATAAAAATTGTATTTAAAAATTGTATTTAGAATTGTATAAAAATTGTATTTAAAAATTGTATTTAGAATTGTATAAAAATTGTATTTTAAAATTGTATTTAGAATTGTATAAAAATTGTATTTAAAAATTGTATTTAGAATTGTATAAAAATTGTATTTAAAAATAGTATTTAGAATTGTATAAAAATTGTATTTTAAAATTGTATTTAGAATTGTATAAAAATTGTATTTAAAAATTGTATTTAGAATTGTATAAAAATTGTATTTTAAAATTGTATTTAGAATTGTATAAAAATTGTATTTAAAAATTGTATTTAGAATTGTATAAAAATTGTATTTAAAAATTGTATTTAAAATTGTATAAAAATTGTATTTTAAAATTGTATTTAGAATTGTATAAAAATTGTATTTAAAAATTGTATTTAGAATTGTATAAAAATTGTATTTAAAAATTGTATTTAGAATTGTATAAAAATTGTATTTTAAAATTGTATTTAGAATTGTATAAAAATTGTATTTAAAAATTGTATTTAGAATTGTATAAAAATTGTATTTTAAAATTGTATTTAGAATTGTATAAAAATTGTATTTAAAAATTGTATTTAGAATTGTATAAAAATTGTATTTAAAAATTGTATTTAAAATTGTATAAAAATTGTATTTTAAAATTGTATTTAGAATTGTATAAAAATTGTATTTAAAAATTGTATTTAGAATTGTATAAAAATTGTATTTAAAAATTGTATTTAGAATTGTATAAAAATTGTATTTTAAAATTGTATTTAGAATTGTATAAAAATTGTATTTAAAAATTGTATTTAGAATTGTATAAAAATTGTATTTAAAAATTGTATTTAGAATTGTATAAAAATTGTATTTTAAAATTGTATTTAGAATTGTATAAAAATTGTATTTTAAAATTGTATTTAGAATTGTATAAAAATTGTATTTAAAAATTGTATTTAGAATTGTATAAAAATTGTATTTAAAAATTGTTTTTAGAATAGTATAAAAATTGTATTTTAAAATTGTATTTAGAATTGTATAAAAATTGTATTTAAAAATTGTATTTAGAATTGTATAAAAATTGTATTTAAAAATTGTATTTAGAATTGTATAAAAATTGTATTTTAAAATTGTATTTAGAATTGTATAAAATTGTATTTAAAAATTGTATTTAGAATTGTATAAAAATTGTATTTAAAAATTGTATTTAGAATTGTATAAAAATTGTATTTTAAAATTGTATTTAGAATTGTATAAAAATTGTATTTAAAAATTGTATTTAGAATTGTATAAAAATTGTATTTAAAAATAGTATTTAGAATTGTATAAAAATTGTATTTAAAAATTGTATTTAGAATTGTATAAAAATTGTATTTTAAAATTGTATTTAGAATTGTATAAAAATTGTATTTAAAAATTGTATTTAGAATTGTATAAAAATTGTATTTAAAAATTGTATTTAGAATTGTATAAAAATTGTATTTTAAAATTGTATTTAGAATTGTATAAAAATTGTATTTAAAAATTGTATTTAGAATTGTATAAAAATTGTATTTAAAAATTGTATTTAGAATTGTATAAAAATTGTATTTAAAAATTGTATTTAGAATTGTATAAAAATTGTATTTAAAAATTGTATTTAGAATTGTATAAAAATTGTATTTTAAAATTGTATTTAGAATTGTATAAAAATTGTATTTTAAAATTGTATTTAGAATTGTATAAAAATTGTATTTTAAAATTGTATTGTAACTAAATTGACCACCAGCCAGAGTAAACATGTGTTACACGTGGTTGGTAGACTACATTAGACGTCAGCGCAATCTATCGGCTACAGGACATTACCCCCCGAACATTCCCCCCCCGTATTTACCCCCAGGAGCAATTACCCCCCTGTCAATTACCCCCCCCCTCTCAAGTTAGAATCCTAACTCTAACTAGAATTCTATACCTATATACTACTTTAATCCAAACCTTAAGAAAAAGACCAAAACCTAAGCATCCACCTTAGCCTAAAACTTCACACAAAACCAAAACCAACGCTAGACACAACCCTAACCCTAACCGGGGGGTAATGTCCTACGGGGAGGGGGGTAATTGACAGGGGGGGGGTAATTAGTCCGGGGGTAATGTCGGGGGGAGGGGCAATGTCCGGGGGAGGGGGTAATTGACAGGGGGGGGGGGATACAATCTATCAGGCTACATTAGGACGTCAGTGCTATCTATCAGGCTACATTAGAATGGTTTGACAGATGATTTCTTGATTAAACTTACCTTCATATCACTGCCACTGTTCTTGTGTGTCTTGGAGCTTTTCATTGGGAGAGTAATGGCTCCTGGATGTAACTGTAAACCATTTGCTGATTGGCTTCCTGGTGTTGTATTTACATCCAACGAAAGTCGTTTTTTGGGGGGTAAATGTCTTTTACAGGATACAGATGAGACATGTGTTGAACTCCAAACCTTTTGTTGTGTAGCACTAACAGACTCACAGGTTTCAGCTTGGAAATCTTCACAGATATTCAATTTTTCACTCTCAGAACTCTTGGAGGAATACAAGCCAGCATTGGGGGGCCGAGTTTGAAATAATTCCAATGTTTGGGTTGTCTTCTTGATTTTGTTGGACAGTTTCTTTGCTAGCTCCACTTTGCTCCAGGATCTAAGAGTCAAATTATTGGAGTGACTAGATCTAGCACAACTCTGCACTTTGATGAAAGATACATCAGTCTCAGTACTGGGAGTGGCAAGTTTGGCCACAGCTGGGGTGTCAAGTTTGGCCACATCTGGAGTGTCAAGTTTGGCCACAGCTGGGGTGTCAAGTTCGGCCACATCTGGAGTGTCAAGTTTGGCCACAGCTGGGGTGTCAAGTTTGGCCACAGCTGGGGTGTCAAGTTTGGCCAAAGCTGGGATGTCAAGTTTGGCCACATTTGGAGTGTCAAGTTTGGCCAAAGCTGGGGTGTCAAGTTTGGCCACAGCTGGGGTGTCAAGTTTGGCCACAGCTGGGGTGTCAAGTTTGGCCACAGCTGGGGTGTCAAGTTTGGCCACAGCTGGGGTGTCAAGTTTGGCTACATTTGGAGTGTCAAGTTTGGCTACATTTGGAGTGTCAAGTTTGGCCACAGCTGGGGTGGCAAGTTTTGCCACAGCTGGGGTGTCAAGTTTGGCCACAGCTGGGGTGTCAAGTTTGGCCACAGCTGGGGTGTCAAGTTTGGCCACAGCTGGGGTGTCAAGTTTGGCCACAGCTGGGGTGTCAAGTTTGGCCACAGCTGGGGTGTCAAGTTTGGCCACAGCTGGGGTGTCAAGTTTGGCCAAAGCTGGGGTGACAAGCTTAGATTTTTTATTATTTCTGTTACGACTGCATTTTCCAGTTTCTCTTTTTCTTTTACTACTTGGTTTTATTAGGGAGTTTTTTCCTTCAAGTAAAGTGGACAAAGCATTTTCTTCTCTGCATTTAGAGACAGCAATAGGTTGATGCCAAACAGGCTGGCGACTAACTGGATGATCTGATGTCAAATGGTCATAATGACATGTATCTGTGACATGTCGATGGTCATAATTGACCATAACTTGATGAGAATCTGTGACATGCAGAGTGACTGCTGGCATAATTTGTCTGATGGTGCTGTCAGTCTGGAGAATGGCATACGGCTGTACAGCTGTCTCATACGGCTGTACAGCTGTCTCATACAGCTGTACAGCTGCAAGTTTGGGCTGCATCTGAGGAAGTTGACGTGCTGGGAGAGTGTTAGAGAAGATGTTAGCACTGTAAACTGATGGGTTTAAGTTGGGCAAAAGGCTAGCCAGTTTCTTCTTGCCCTTTTCTCTTTTAGAAAGAGATGTATCTATCCTGCTCTGTCTTCTATATGCCACAATTCTGCCATCCAATTCCAAAGCTAATTTATTTCTATTTTTCTTTCTTTGTAAACCATCCTTCGCATTTTTCTTTCTATGTAAGTTTTGCCCAGAATTTTTCTCCCCCCATAATCCTTCCTCCACATTTTGGGAAGTTAATTGTAAGTCTACACAGTAATGACCTTTTTGGCCAAGTTGCCCTTGACAGTTCTGGCCAGTTTCATCACAAGTGACAGTTTTTGAACTGACTTCTTGAACAGAATCAAATTTAACAAGTCCAACAGGTGTCTGGTGTACAGGTGTCTGGTGTACAGGTGTCTGGGGTGTCTGGTGTACAGGTGGCTGGGGTGTCTGGTGTACAGGTGTCTGGGGTGTCTGGTGTACAGGTGTCTGGTGTACAGGTGTCTGGTGTACAGGTGTCTGGTGTACAGGTGTCTGGTGTACAGGTGTCTGGTGTACAGGTGTCTGGTGTACAGGTGTCTGGTGTACAGGTGTCTGGGGTGTCTGGTGTACAGGTGGCTGGGGTGTCTGGTGTACAGGTGTCTGGGGTGTCTGGTGTACAGGTGTCTGGTGTACAGGTGTCATGTGTACAGGTGTCTGGTGTACAGGTGTCTGGTGTACAGGTGTCTGGTGTACAGGTGTCTGGTGTGTCTGGTGTACAGGTGTCTGGTGTACAGGTGTCTGGTGTACAGGTGTCTGGTGTACAGGTGTCTGGTGTACAGGTGTCTGGTGTACAGGTGTCTGGTGTACAGGTGTCTGGTGTACAGGTGGCTGGTGTACAGGTGTCTGGTGTACAGGTGTCTGGTGTACAGGTGTCTGGTGTACAGGTGTCTGGTGTACAGGTGGCTGGGGTGTCTGGTGTACAGGTGTCTGGTGTACAGGTGACTGGTGTACAGGTGTCTGGTGTACAGGTGTCTGGTGTACAGGTGGCTGGGGTGTCTGGTGTACAGGTGACTGGTGTACAGGTGTCTGGTGTACAGGTGACTGGTGTACAGGTGTCTGGTGTACAGGTGTCTGGTGTACAGGTGTCTGGTGTACAGGTGGCTGGTGTACAGGTGTCTGGGGTGTCTGGTGTACAGGTGGCTGGTGTACAGGTGTCTGGGGTGTCTGATGTACAGGTGTCTGATGTACAGGTGTCTGGTGTACAGGTAGCTGGTGTACAGGTGTCTGATGTACAGGTGTCTGGTGTACAGGTGTCTGGTGTACAGGTGTCTGGTGTACAGGTGTCTGATGTACAGGTGGCTGGTGTACAGGTGTCTGGTGTACAGGTGGCTGGTGTACAGGTGTCTGGTGTACAGGTGTCTGGTGTACAGGTGGCTGGTGTACAGGTGTCTGGTGTACAGGTGTCATGTCCTGTTTGGGCTGTGGTTTGGTATAAGAAGATGTTAGGGCAGAGAGTTCTCTAAATGCTTCCACTTCAGATTGTGAAGAACTAACCTCCTCAGCAATTGGAGCATTTCTTTCACCTCTTAAAGGAGATTTCATCCAACTTCCTCGCCCTGCTAAACAAAGCACAACAAACAATTTGAATGGAATAAATAGCATGATTATTTCTAGTCCAAATATTATTCAAGAAAGAAAACAATGAGTCAAAAGTTAAGAAAAAAAAGCATAACAACCATTACAATAACAATCTTTTATAAATAGTTTTTAGTCATGCAACTGTAATGTATAAAAAAATTTAAAGGACTGGACAAAATATGTATAAAAATGTTTTAAAAACAAGCTTTTGTGTAATAGTGCACTAAAAAGGAGAAATTAAATGATTTTTTTAAAAAATATATAATAATACACCACTATTTAAATATCTGGAAAGAAAAGCATTGGTCGCTTCTTAAATTCTAGTATAAGTATTCAATACATATTATAGAGATCCACGCTTTTCTATATAGTTATTTAAATGGTGTTTTATAATATATTTAAAGAAAATCATTTATTTTCTCCCTTTTAGTGAATTATTACATAAAAGCTTGTTATTAAAAATGGTTTTATGCATTTTTTTCAGTACTTTAAAATTTGTAATGTGTTGTACTCAAGATACGAACAACAACTTCAACTAGATACAATGTGAAGTAGAGTTCACTTGTTTCTGTGACCTCTGCATATGAAGAGATAGTGTGGTCAGCACTATGCCCAGCCGCATTTACTTTCCCTAACGTGAGTTAGGTACCCATCAGAGTTGGGTGGACTCAGGGACGGTCTACTGACTTGAACACCCAAAATCTGCTGATGCTTTTCTTATTCAGACTTATGCCCATAGATGCATGGCCAAATGACTGGCCATTGTCTCAAAGTGTTAAAAACAGAATCAAATAGTCAGGTTTTTATTTCATTGGATTGAAGCAAACCATAGTGTAACTAGAGGATAGGATGGAATTTACCTTTGGTTCCCAGGGAGGACAACTGGATTGGCTGAACTCTTTTAGGTCTTCGTTTGGATGGACTTGGAGGAAGAGCAATGCCCAGATTTTCAAACTGAGAGCTCCAAGCCTCCCCACGGCCAGTGGTGCAAACAGATGGGGAGTCATTTCTCCACAGAGAGGCTGTCGTCTGCCTGAGATTCATTGGACTAGATGGGGTATCTTGGAGCGGAGAAGGTGTAGAGTGTGTCACTACCACTGGAACAATCCTTCTGCTTGCAGTTTGCCTACAATGTGCAGGTAGAAATGGTGGTAAAGAGCTATCTACCGCAATGACCTTCTTTTTACACTGTGTTGTACCATCGTTTTCATTCTTTCCAAATCTTTTAAAACTCATTCTACACTGTGCGCTACAATAAACTTGATTCCTTCCAAATGTGCTCAGCTCCTCAAACTGTGAGCTGGGTAAAGTGCCAGGTAAACTGTGGCTGCTTGGCTGCACAAATCTGCTCAACTTCCTGGGGGAATTTTCATCAGGACTCACAATGCTTGTTGGTGTCAATAATGAGAGACACTCAGTTAGTGCACTTGGAAAAGCTTCTTCAGAGTAATTGCTGGCTTTTTTAAGCACAATGTTGTCTTCTTTAGGCAAATTCCTGGCTTTTTTAGGCAAATTCCTGGCTTCTTTAGGCAAATTGCTGTCTTGTTTAGGCAAATTGCTGTCTTGTTTAGGCAAATTGCTGTCTTGTTTAGGGAAATTGCTGTCTTGTTTAGGGAAATTGCTGGTCTCTTCAGATAAATTGCAAACTTGTGCAGGTAAACTGCTAGCTGTGTCAAGCAGAGATGTGGGGCCATCTGGAAAATTGCTTGTCTTGTATTTTGTGCTGTTGGGATTCCATGAGGAAGGCATCAGTCTTTTCTGATTGACACCTGATTTACTATTGACATCAACATTTGGACCATTGACACTACTGACATCAACATTTGGACCATTGACACTACTGACATCAACATTTGGACCATTGACACTACTGACATCAACATTTGGACCATTGACACTACTGACATCAACATTTGGACCATTGACACTACTGACATCAACATTTGGACCATTGACACTACTGACATCAACATTTGGACCATTGACACTACTGACATCAACATTTGGACCATTGAACTGAGCTAATCTTTCTGCAGCAGAAATAAAGCTCTCTTGAGAAAGTTCATCCACTACAAGATAACAATCATCATCTTTTTCTTTTTGCTTATTCAATTTCTGACTCTCCTTTAATTCAGGACTGGCTAGGTCCAAATTTTTCCCAGTATTATGTTGCTTTTCTCTTGGTTCAAACATTTGAAATGGCGGCTTTGTTTGCTGAGATCCTAACTTTGATAAACAGTCTGTTAAACATTTGTCTATGGTGGCCAGATTTTTCCAAGTTTGAGATTCTAAGAAGCTTACTGTATTTGGATGGGAAATTCCACTCCCATCAACCAAGCTGATCTGGAGATTTTCTACTTGGGTCTCCAAGAGCTGAGAACATGTTTGTGAGGCTTCCAGAATCTCCTGTTTTATATTTGGTCTGTGTTGACTCAATGTGGCTAGGTTTGAAGATGGGTGGGTTGTAGGACCTGGTCCTGTAGGACCTGGTCCTGTAGGACCTGGTCCTGTAGGTGCTGGTCCTGTAGCTGCTGGTCCTGTAGGACCTGGTCCTGTAGGACCTGGTCCTGTAGGTGCTGGTCCTGTAGGTGCTGGTCCTGTAGGTGCTGGTCCTGTAGGACCTGGTCCTGTAGGTGCTGGTCCTGTAGGTGCTGGTCCTGTAGGTGCTGGTCCTGTAGGTGCTGGTCCTGTAGCTGCTGGTCCTGTAGGACCTGGTCCTGTAGGACCTGGTCCTGTAGGTGCTGGTCCTGTAGGTGCTGGTCCTGTAGGTGCTGGTCCTGTAGGACCTGGTCCTGTAGCTGCTGGTCCTGTAGGACCTGGTCCTGTAGGACCTGGTCCTGTAGGTGCTGGTCCTGTAGGACCTGGTCCTGTAGCTGCTGGTCCTGTAGGTGCTGGTCCTGTAGGTGCTGGTCCCGTAGGACCTGGTCCTGTACGACCTGGTCCTGTAGGTGCTGGTCCTGTAGCTGCTGGTCCTGTAGGTGCTGGTTCTGTAGAAGTAAGGGCTGTAGGACCTGGTCCTGTAGGTGCTGGTCCTGTAGGACCTGGTCCTGTAGGTGCTGGTCCTGTAGCTGCTGGTCCTGTAGGACCTGGTCCTGTAGGACCTGGTCCTGTAGGTGCTGGTCCTGTAGGTGCTGGTCCTGTAGGACCTGGTCCTGTAGGTGCTGGTCCTGTAGGACCTGGTCCTGTAGCTGCTGGTCCTGTAGGACCTGGTCCTGTAGGACCTGGTCCTGTAGGTGCTGGTCCTGTAGGTGCTGGTCCTGTAGCTGCTGGTCCTGTAGGTGCTGGTCCTGTAGGTGCTGGTCCTGTAGGTGCTGGTCCTGTAGGACCTGGTCCTGTACGACCTGGTCCTGTAGGTGCTGGTCCTGTAGCTGCTGGTCCTGTAGGTGCTGGTCCTGTAGCTGCTGGTCCTGTAGGTGCTGGTCCTGTAGGACCTGGTCCTGTAGCTGCTGGTCCTGTAGGTGCTGGTCCTGTAGGACCTGGTCCTGTAGGTGCTGGTCCTGTAGGACCTGGTCCTGTAGAAGTAAGGGCTGTAGGACCTGGTCCTGTAGCTGCTGGTCCTGTAGGACATAGTTCTGTAGGTGCTGGTCCTGTAGGTGCTGGTCCTGTAGGACCTGGTCCTGTAGCTGCTGGTCCTGTAGGACATAGTTCTGTAGGTGCTGGTCCTGTAGCTGCTGGTCCTGTAGGACATAGTTCTGTAGGTGCTGGTCCTGTAGGTGCTGGTCCTGTAGGACCTGGTCCTGTAGCTGCTGGTCCTGTAGGACATAGTTCTGTAGCTGCTGGTCCTGTAGGTGCTGGTCCTGTAGGACCTGGTTCTGTAGGACCTGGTCCTGTAGAAGTAAGGGCTGTAGGACCTGGTCCTGTAGAAGTAAGAGCTGTAGGACCTGGTCCTGTAGGAGTTAGGTGAGGACCATCAAAGTGAGGACCATCAAAAGTTAGAGCCAAATCATTTGTCTGAGATAGACCAGTGTTAACTGTTGCTATGGTTTCTGTTGCATTAAAGCTTTGACATTTGTGCTGGTGGTTATTGACTGGACAACTGTCTTCTCCTAGCCTGGTTAGACTGGTTAGACTGAGCTGAGGGTGGCCCATTTGGTCAGAGGGGAGATCAACAACTGGGACATCCAAATGGGAGAGAGGGATGGCAGAAGCTGAAATATAGTACATTGGAGCTCAGTGAATGCAGACATTATTACAAATATAGTACATTGGAGCTCAATGAATGCAGACATTGTTACAAATATAGTACATTGGAGCTCAGTGAATGCAGACATTGTTACAAATATAGTACATTGGAGCTCAGTGAATGCAGACATTGTTACAAATATAAGATCTTATGTCTTAGCAGTCTGCATGTAGCAAAATGAGCATTCAAGTGATTTATAAGCCGCATACAGGGTCCCTACAATTTCTGAAATTCCAGACTTTTTTTTTTGACAAACTCCAAATTTAATAGAGATAACGATATAGGGAAATAAAAAAGTTAAATTTGACATACTGGATCTATTTGATACAGTATTGAACAACAATCTGTTTATGGACAACTCTATCCTTAAGATATAATGGCCAGACAACTCTATCCTTAAGATATAATGGCCAGACAACTCTATCCTTAAGATATAATGGCCAGACAACTCTAGATATGATGGCCAGACAACTATATCCTTAAGATCTAATGGCCAGACAACTCTAGATATGATGGCCAGACAACTCTAGATATAATGGCCAGACAACTCTATCCTTAAGATATGTTGGCCAGACAACACTATCCTTAAGATATAATGGACAGACAACTCTATCCTTAAGATATGATGGCCAGACAACTCTAGATATAATGGCCAGACAACTCTATCCTTAAGATATAATGGCCAGACAACTCTATCCTTAAGATATAATGGCCAGACAACTCTATCCTTAAGATATAATGGCCAGACAACTCTATCCTTAAGATATAATGGCCAGACAACTCTATCCTTAAGATATAATGGCCAGACAACTCTATCCTTAAGATATAATGGCCAGACAACTCTATCCTTAAGATATAATGGCCAGACAACTCTATCCTTAAGATATAATGGCCAGACAACTCTAGATATAATGGCCAGACAACTCTATCCTTAAGATATAATGGCCAGACAACTCTAGATATAATGGCCAGACAACTCTATCCTTAAGATATGATGGCCAGGCAACTCTATCCTTAAGATATAATGGCCAGACAACTCTATCCTTAAGATATAATGGCCAGACAACTCTAGATATAATGGCCAGACAACTCTATCCTTAAGATATAATGGCCAGACAACACTATCCTTAAGATATAATGGCCAGACAACTCTATCCTTAAGATATAATGGCCAGACAACTCTATCCTTAAGATATAATGGCCAGACAACTCTATCCTTAAGATATAATGGCCAGACAACTCTATCCTTAAGATATAATGGCCAGACAACTCTATCCTTAAGATATAATGGCCAGACAACTCTATCCTTAAGATATAATGGCCAGACAACTCTAGATATAATGGCCAGACAACTCTATCCTTAAGATATAATGGCCAGACAACTCTAGATATAATGGCCAGACAACTCTATCCTTAAGATATGATGGCCAGACAACTCTATCCTTAAGATATAATGGCCAGACAACTCTATCCTTAAGATATAATGGCCAGACAACTCTATCCTTAAGATATAATGGCCAGACAACTCTATCCTTAAGATATAATGGCCAGACAACTCTATCCTTAAGATATAATGGCCAGACAACTCTATCCTTAAGATATAATGGCCAGACAACTCTATCCTTAAGATATAATGGCCAGACAACTCTATCCTTAAGATATAATGGCCAGACAACTCTATCCTTAAGATATAATGGCCAGACAACTCTAGATATAATGGCCAGACAACTCTATCCTTAAGATATAATGGCCAGACAACTCTAGATATAATGGCCAGACAACTCTATCCTTAAGATATAATGGCCAGACAACTCTATCCTTAAGATATGGTGGCCAGACAACTCTATCCTTAAGATATAATGGCCAGACAACTCTATCCTTAAGATATGATGGTCAGACAACTCTATCCTTAAGATATAATGGCCAGACAACTCTATCCTTAAGATATGATGGCCAGACAACTCTATCCTTAAGATATAATGGCCAGACAACTCTATCCTTAAGATATAATGGCCAGACAACTCTATCCTTAAGATATAATGGCCAGACAACTCTATCCTTAAGATATGATGGCCAGACAACTCTAGATATAATGGCCAGACAACTCTATCCTTAAGATATAATGGCCAGACAACTCTATCCTTAAGATATAATGGCCAGACAACTCTAGATATAATGGCCAGACAACTCTAGATATGGTGGCCAGACAACTCTATCCTTAAGATATAATGGCCAGACAACTCTATCCTTAAGATATAATGGCCAGACAACTCTAGATATGGTGGCCAGACAACTATCCTTAAGATATGATGGTCAGACAACTCTATCCTTAAGATATAATGGCCAGACAACTCTATCCTTAAGATATAATGGCCAGACAACTCTATCCTTAAGATATAATGGCCAGACAACTCTATCCTTAAGATATGGTGGCCAGACAACTCTATCCTTAAGATATGATGGCCAGACAACTCTATCCTTAAGATATAATGGCCAGACAACTCTATCCTTAAGATATGATGGCCAGACAACTCTAGATATAATGGCCAGACAACTCTATCCTTAAGATATAATGGCCAGACAACTCTAGATATAATGGCCAGACAACTCTAGATATAATGGCCAGACAACTCTATCCTTAAGATATAATGGCCAGACAACTCAATCCTTAAGATATGATGGCCAGACAACTCTATCCTTAAGATATAATGGCCAGACAACTCTATCCTTAAGATATAATGGCCAGACAACTCAATCCTTAAGATATAATGGCCAGACAACTCTAGATATGGTGGCCAGACAACTCTATCCTTAAGATATGATGGCCAGACAACTCTAGATATAATGGCCAGACAACTCTAGATATAATGGCCAGACAACTCTAGATATGGTGGCCAGACAACTCTATCCTTAAGATATGATGGCCAGACAACTCTAGATATAATGGCCAGACAACTCTAGATATAATGGCCAGACAACTCTAGATATAATGGCCAGACAACTCTATCCTTAAGATATAATGGCCAGACAACTCTATCCTTAAGATATGATGGCCAGACAACTCTATCCTTAAGATATAATGGCCAGACAACTCTATCCTTAAGATATAATGGCCAGACAACTCTATCCTTAAGATATGTTGGCCAGACAACTCTATCCTTAAGATATAATGGCCAGACAACTCTTAGATATAATGGCCAGACAACTCTATCCTTAAGATATAATGGCCAGACAACTCTAGATATAATGGCCAGACAACTCTATCCTTAAGATATAATGGCCAGACAACTCTATCCTTAAGATATAATGGCCAGACAACTCTAGATATGGTGGCCAGACAACTCTATCCTTAAGATATGATGGCCAGACAACTCTATCCTTAAGATCTAATGGCCAGACAACTCTATCCTTAAGATATAATGGCCAGACAACTCTAGATATAATGGCCAGACAACTCTATCCTTAAGATATAATGGCCAGACAACTCTATCCTTAAGATATGATGGCCAGACAACTCTATCCTTAAGATATAATGGCCAGACAACTCTACCCTTAAGATATGATGGCCAGACAACTCTAGATATAATGGCCAGACAACTCTATCCTTAAGATATAATGGCCAGACAACTCTATCCTTAAGATATAATGGCCAGACAACTCTATCCTTAAGATATAATGGCCAGACAACTCTATCCTTAAGATATAATGGCCAGACAACTCTAGATATGGTGGCCAGACAACTCTATCCTTAAGATATAATGGCCAGACAACTCTAGATATGATGGCCAGACAACTCTATCCTTAAGATATAATGGCCAGACAACTCTATCCTTAAGATATAATGGCCAGACAATTCTAGATATAATGGCCAGACAACTCTATCCTTAAGATATAATGGCCAGACAACTCTATCCTTAAGATATAATGGCCAGACAACTCTATCCTTAAGATATAATGGCCAGACAACTCTAGATATGATGGCCAGACAACTATATCCTTAAGATCTAATGGCCAGACAACTCTAGATATGATGGCCAGACAACTCTAGATATGATGGCCAGACAACTATATCCTTAAGATCTAATGGCCAGACAACTCTAGATATGATGGCCAGACAACTCTAGATATGATGGCCAGACAACTATATCCTTAAGATCTAATGGCCAGACAACTCTAGATATAATGGCCAGACAACTCTAGATATGGTGGCCAGACAACTATCCTTAAGATATGATGGTCAGACAACTCTATCCTTAAGATATGATGGCCAGACAACTCTATCCTTAAGATATAATGGCCAGACAACTCTAGATATGGTGGCCAGACAACTATCCTTAAGATATGATGGTCAGACAACTCTATCCTTAAGATATGATGGCCAGACAACTCTATCCTTAAGATATAATGGCCAGACAACTCTATCCTTAAGATATAATGGCCAGACAACTCTAGATATAATGGCCAGACAACTCTATCCTTAAGATATAATGGCCAGACAACTCTATCCTTAAGATATAATGGCCAGACAACTCTATCCTTAAGATATAATGGCCAGACAACTCTATCCTTAAGATATAATGGCCAGACAACTCTAGATATGATGGCCAGACAACTCTATCCTTAAGATATAATGGCCAGACAACTCTATCCTTAAGATATGATGGCCAGACAACTCTATCCTTAAGATATATAGGCCAGACAACACTATCCTTAAGATATAATGGCCAGACAACTCTATCCTTAAGATATAATGGCCAGACAACTCTATCCTTAAGATATAATGGCCAGACAACTCTATCCTTAAGATATAATGGCCAGACAACTCTATCCTTAAGATATAATGGCCAGACAACTCTATCCTTAAGATATAATGGCCAGACAACTCTATCCTTAAGATATAATGGCCAGACAACTCTAGATATGATGGCCAGACAACTCTATCCTTAAGATATAATGGCCAGACAACTCTATCCTTAAGATATGATGGCCAGACAACTCTATCCTTAAGATATATAGGCCAGACAACACTATCCTTAAGATATAATGGCCAGACAACTCTATCCTTAAGATATAATGGCCAGACAACTCTATCCTTAAGATATAATGGCCAGACAACTCTATCCTTAAGATATAATGGCCAGACAACTCTATCCTTAAGATATAATGGCCAGACAACTCTATCCTTAAGATATAATGGCCAGACAACTCTATCCTTAAGATATAATGGCCAGACAACTCTATCCTTAAGATATGTTGGCCAGACAACACTATCCTTAAGATATAATGGCCAGACAACTCTATCCTTAAGATATGATGGCCAGACAACTCTATCCTTAAGATATAATGGCCAGACAACTCTATCCTTAAGATATGATGGCCAGACAACTCTATCCTTAAGATATAATGGCCAGACAACTCTATCCTTAAGATATAATGGCCAGACAACACTATCCTTAAGATATAATGGCCAGACAACTCTATACTTAAGATATAATAGCCAGACAACTCTAGATATGATGGTCAGACAACTCTATCCTTAAGATATAATGGCCAGACAACACTATCCTTAAGATATAGTGGCCAGACAACTCTATCCTTAAGATATGGTGGCCAGACAACTCTATCCTTAAGATATAATGGCCAGACAACACTATCCTTAAGATATAATGGCCAGACAACTCTATCCTTAAGATATGGTGGCCAGACAACTCTATCCTTAAGATATAATGGCCAGACAACACTATCCTTAAGATATAATGGCCAGACAACTCTATCCTTAAGATATGATGGCCAGACAAAATTTCCAATCAAGACCTGTGGCAAACCACAGGGCAACAGACTTTTAATTCCAGATTTTTTCCAGACTGCGTACCAAATCTATAATACCATACTGAAGTGGTTTGCTAGTTACATAACATGTTCACGTGGTTTATTAGCTACATAACATGTTCAAGTGGTTTATTAGCTACATAACATGTTCAAGTGGTTTATTAGCTACATAACATGTTCAAGTGGTTTATTAGCTACATAACATGTTCAAGTGGTTTATTAGCTACATAACATGTTCAAGTGGTTTATTAGCTACATAACATGTTCAAGTGGTTTATTAGCTACATTACATGTTCAAGTGGTTTATTAGCTACATAACATGTTCAAGTGGTTTATTAGCTACATAACATGTTCAAGTGGTTTATTAGCTACATAACATGTTCAAGTGGTTTATTAGCTACATAACATGTTCAAGTGGTTTATTAGCTACATAACATGTTCAAGTGGTTTATTAGCTACATTACATGTTCAAGTGGTTTATTAGCTACATAACATGTTCAAGTGGTTTATTAGCTACATAACATGTTCAAGTGGTTTATTAGCTACATAACATGTTCAAATGGTTTATTAGCTACATAACATGTTCAAATGGTTTATTAGCTACATACCATGTTGAAAAAGTTTGAGAAAATTCTGAAAAGCAGGGTCAGATTCTGTCTTTTCAATTATAGAATCCATGTCTGTAGCAGTTACAGGCTGAAAGTTTTTTTAGAGATACACTTGGTTACAAAACAAATAATTAAAATATGTTTTGTATATTCATAAGTTTTTAGATATCTTTTGATTATACATAATCGTATTTTCCAGAGATATTTACACTTGACTGCAAATCATAAGTTTTATCAGATATTGACACGATTAAGGGCATGGGTGAGTGATGAAAACCAAAATAACCAAAATGCTTATTTTTAAACCTTATGCTATAATATTTAGCATATACTTATGACTTAAGAGTTAAGTCTAAAAATTTTAAAAATGGCCATCTAGGATTTTATTTACCATGTTAACATTGAAATAACTCAAAAATGGCTTATGGGAATTCGATAAAAACTTGCAGAATTATAGAAATTGCTAACAATCATGATAGATTACATTTTCAAATTTTAAAATGCTTTTGTTTTTACAATTTTTTCTTCAGAAAATAACTTTTTAAAAAGAATCAAAATTTGAGCAACAGATACACCATTTTAACTGTAACAGAAAAACTATACACATTTTACTTTCTCGTATATACGAAGTATAGAGAAAGTATTGTAATAGTGCAAAAAAAAAAAAAAAAAATCGAGATTTTTACAAATCTCGACGTTTTACATCTCACTGATACGGAAAAACATAATTTTGCAATCTTGTCCGTATGTCTGTGTGTCTGTCTGTGTGTCTGTCTGTCTGTCTGTCTGTGTGTAAACACGATAACTTGAGTACGGTTACAGCTAAGTTGATGAAATTTCATATATAAGTATTTTATCAAAATCGTAGATCCGTATAAACTTTTGAACGATTTCCGATAACCTGAAGTGGTACTTTTTCTACTTTGAAATTTTCAAAAGTCTATAACTTGAGTACTATTTCAGATAGATAAATGAAATTTCACATGTAAGTAAAAGATCTAATTCTCTACCTTCTGTTAAATTTTGAGTAATTTCCGTTGACGGGAAGTACTAATTTACGCTATTTCCGATTTCTCAAAAACGCATCTAAATTTATAAAGTACTAATAATATTGCGCACCATTATGAACATCTTTATTCGGCGTTCGCTTGGTGTGCAATACTTTTTTCTATGAGATTCTATTTTATTTTAAAAAGTTTATGTATTTAAAATGGATTAAAAATCATAACTATATCCCGAGTTCCCATCCCCTGTTGTTTTATATAAGAATATTCGAGAAAGTTTAGGGGAGATCACTCCCGGTTTATTTAAAATGTGTTTTATCAGTTTTGTATACAGAATAACCAGAGAACATTTTGATCAATTTTAATAATAATAAGAAAGTTATTTCAATGTAAAAATTGTAAAATAAATTCAAGACAGCGCCATCACCATGGCAACAAAGGGAAATTATCTCTTTGAGTTATAACTATATGCTAGATATGATAGCATAAAGTTTATAAATAAGCATTTTGGTAATTTGGGGTTCATCACATGCCCATGGCCTTAAAATAATTTAAACTTGATTATGCTTCATACTAAATGGGTGGGAGGCCACTTATTTTGTGTTTTAAATTTAGTGTACCCCCCCCCCCCCCCCCGCACTTTCAACACAGAAAACACTGGGCAGTAACAAATGCAGTAACCCTCTTTAATTCATTTAAAATCAAACCAATGATCAAAACCTCATATTTTCTGAGGTGAAACCCATTTTATTCATTTAAAAAAATGACCAACTGATCTCTTGAATAAATTTGGACAGAAAAAAATCCAACTAACAACCAAGCCTGAGGAGTTGAGCTATATTTGAATAGGACTATCAAAGAATAAGACCTCAGACTAACAAAGAATAAGACAGCCAGACAATCAAAGTATTAGATGGCCAGACTATCAAAGTATTAGATGGCCAGACTATCAAAGTATTAGATGGCCAGACTATCAAAGTATTAGATGGCCAGACTATCAAAGTATTAAATGGCCAGACTATCAAAGTATTAGATGGCCAGACTATCAAAGGACTAGATGGCCAGACTATCAAAGAATTAGATGGCCAGACTATCAAAGTATTAAATGGCCAGACTATCAAAGTATTAGATGGCCAGACTATCAAAGTATTAAATGGCCAGACTATCAAAGTATTAGATGGCCAGACTATCAAAGGACTAGATGGCCAGACTATCAAAGAATTAGATGGCCAGACTATCAAAGTATTAGATGGCCAGACTATCAAAGTATTAGATGGCCAGACTATCAAAGTATTAGATGGCCAGACTATCAAAGAATTAGATGGCCAAACTATCAAAATATTAGATGGCCAAATTCTTGCTGACTGCACCTAACAGGGATGTGACTTAATTTAAAAAAAAAAAATGAAATCTTTTTCTTTTAGGAGAGGTGCTCAATGTTTGATGGCAATTACAGGATGAACAATACTGAAAATATGGTGGGATTGTTTTATTAATAAAATATGGTGGGAATTGTTATACTAATAAAATATGGTGGGAATTATAAATAAAAAAAATGAGTAAGCCTTTAAATGTTAAAGAACTGCAAAATGAGAAAAAACAGCATAAAGTGACAGCATAAAGGAAGTCATGAAAATACCATTTCTGTGTCATTTGTAAAGCCAGTTGAAAGCTTTGGGTGTTTCTGAGAGGATGAAAAATACTATCAACAAATACCAGAGAAATCTAGCTTTCCAATGATGCCAAATACAATATAAGGAAAGATATTAAACTTTTTGTAGAAAGTGTGTATGATTGGAAAAAAAATGATTCTTTGTTAATTAATGGGGTCAGAAAAATTGTACTTCAAGCACATAAAATTGTACTTCAAACACATAAAATTGTACTTCAAACACATAAAATTGCTTCCCCTTGAAAATCCTGTAGATCTAGTTCTAAGTATATCTTGCAGATAAAAAAAAACAAAGACAATAAATTTTGGTCAAATTATCGTAGTTCATGAGACTTTTTTAATTCAGGAGAATTCCATACAGTATATCTATAAATTTAGGTTTAGACAAGAATTAATGAGCCCTTGCCCTATCCCTTGCCCTATCCCATACCTTTTGTGAAGGAGGCAGCACTTGATTTCCTATGGTCAATGGTTTCTTCAACAACACTTGATTGATATTTTCTGCCAGTTTTTCATGAAGGTGTGTTTCCTCTAAAAGTTTTTCTAAAAATTCAAACTGCAAAAAAAAAAAAAAGAAAACCCATTCAAAATTATTACATCATTCATTTTTACTTTCTCGTATATACGAAATATAGAGAAAGTCTTGTAATCGGAAAATCTTGATACGGAAAAACATAATTTTGCAATCTTGTCCATATGTCTGTGTGTCGGTCTGTCTGTCTGTGTGTGTGTCCGTGTGTAAACACGATTACTTGAGTACCGTTACAGCTAGGTTGATGAAATTTCATATATAAGTATTTTATCAAAATCGTAGATCCGTATAAACTTTTGAGCGATTTCCGATAACCGGAAGTGGTACTTTTCCTACTTTGAATTTTTCAAAAGCCTATAAATTGAATACTATTTCAGATAGATAAATGAAATTTCACATGTAAGTAAAAGATCTAATTCTCTACCTTCTGTTAAATTTTGAGTAATTTCCGTTGACCGGAAGTAGTAATTTACGCTACTTCCGATTTCTCAAAAAACTAATGTAAATTTTAAAAGTACTAATAATATTGCGCACTATTATGCGCTTTTTTTAATTTGATGTTCACTTGGTGTGCAATTAATTTGTCTACGAGATTTTATTCTATTTTTAAAACTTTAAGTATTTAAAATGGATTAAAAATCTTGTCTATAGCCCGAGTTCCCATCCCCTGTTATTTTATATAAGAATTTTCGAGAAAGTTTAGGGGAGATCACTCCCGGTTTATTTTTCAATTCAATTTTCAAATTACAGTTATATACTAGGCATTGGAATTTTTTTTTAAATTTTAAGTGTCTTTTTAGATATAAATTTAAACACATTTGTATCAAAAGTTTTAAACAATAGAAGGCCATTCTGAATAACAACAAAGTTTTTAAACCAAACACCAAACTTTTCAAACCAAACACCAAACTTTTCAAACCAAACACCAAACTTTTCAAACGAAACACCAAACTTTTCAAACCAAACACCAAACTTTTCAAACGAAACACCCAACTTTTCAAACCAAACACCAAACTTTTCAAACAAAACACCCAACTTTTCAAACCAAACACCCAATTTTTCAAACAAAACACCCAACTTTTCAAACAAAACACCAAACTTTTCAAACCAAACACCAAACTTTTCAAACCAAACACCAAACTTGCCTAAACAGACTAATTGAAAGAAATGAAAGAATTTTTTTCCAACATGACCAGACCCTTTGAAAAAACTGAAAGACACATGACCAGACCCTTTGAAAAAACTGGAAGACACATGACCAGACCCTTTGAAAAAACTGGAAGACACATGACCAGACCCTTTGAAAAAACTGAAAGACACATGACCAGACCCTTTGAAAAAACTGGAAGACACATGACCAGACCCTTTGAAAAAACTGAAAGACACATGACCAGACCCTTTGAAAAAACTGAAAGACACATGACCAGACCCTTTGAAAAAACTGAAAGACACATGACCAGACCCTTTGAAAAAACTGGAAGACACATGACCAGACCCTTTGAAAAAACTGAAAGACACATGACCAGACCCTTTGAAAAAACTGAAAGACACATGATATATTGACTGACCTCACCAGAATCCTGGACACTGTTGGTCCCTTTGTTTTGGCAGATTGGTTTGGAGTGGTCAAGATTTCTCCATGATACACCACATTTATCATTACAGGGGACTGTTGCGGATGTGTCAGTAATTAGTGGTTCTATTGGTGATGTGTCAGTAATTAGTGGTTCTACTGCTGATGTGTCAGTAATTAGTGGTTCTATTGCTGATGTGTCAGTAATTAATGGTTTTACTGAAGAAAATATTTTGCTGTTTTCAATTGAAACTTTTTCAGGCTGGTTCCTAGAATGAAAGAAATGCAGTATCAAACTTGGTAGTGAGCATTCTACTCTAAATCACACTCTATCAAGTTACTAGATATTTCACAATGAATGTAAAATGAAGAAAATAACTTTCAAAATGCAATCCTCACCACTTAATGTGGCCTGTCATCCACCCACTGTGGCCTGTCATCCACCCACTGTGGCCTGTCATCCACCCACTGTGGCCTGTCATCCACCCACTGTGGCCTGTCATCCACCCACTGTAGCCTGTCATCCACCCACTGTGGCCTGTCATCCACCCACTGTGGCCTGTCATCCACCCACTGTGGCCTGTCATCCACCCACTGTGGCCTGTCATCCACCCACTGTGGCCTGTCATCCACCCACTGTGGCCTGTCATCCATGGCCTGTCATCCACCCACTGTGGCCTGTCATCCACCCACTGTGGCCTGTCATCCACCCACTGTGGCCTGTCATCCACCCACTGTGGCCTGTCATCCACCCACTGTGGCCTGTCATCCACCCACTGTGGCCTGTCATCCATGGCCTGTCATCCAGCCACTGTGGCCTGTCATCCACCCACTGTGGCCTGTCATCCAGCCACTGTGGCTTGTCATCCACCCACTGTGGCCTGTCATCCACCCACTGTGGCCTGTCATCCACCCACTGTAGCCTGTCATCCACCCACTGTGGCCTGTCATCCATGGCCTGTCATCCACCCACTGTGGCCTGTCATCCATGGCCTGTCATCCACCTACTGTGGCCTGTCATCCACCCACTGTGGCCTGTCATCCATGGCCTGTCATCCACCCACTGTGGCCTGTCATCCACCCACTGTGGCCTGTCATCCATGGCCTGTCATCCACCCACTGTGGCCTGTCATCCACCCACTGTAGCCTGTCATCCACCCACTGTAGCCTGTCATCCATGGCCTGTCATCCACCCACTGTGGCCTGTCATCCACCCACTGTGGCCTGTCATCCACCCACTGTAGCCTGTCATCCATGGCCTGTCATCCACCCACTGTGGCCTGTCATCCACCCACTGTGGCCTGTCATCCACCCACTGTAGCCTGTCATCCATGGCCTGTCATCCACCCACTGTGGCCTGTCATCCACCCACTGTGGCCTGTCATCCACCCACTGTAGCCTGTCATCCACCCACTGTGGCCTGTCATCCACCTACTGTGGCCTGTCATCCACCCACTGTGGCCTGTCATCCATGGCCTGTCATCCACCCACTGTGGCCTGTCATCCACCCACTGTAGCCTGTCATCCACCCACTGTGGCCTGTCATCCATGGCCTGTCATCCACCCACTGTGGCCTGTCATCCATGGCCTGTCATCCACCCACTGTGGCCTGTCATCCACCCACTGTGGCCTGTCATCCATGGCCTGTCATCCATGGCCTGTCATCCACCCACTGTGGCCTGTCATCCATGGCCTGTCATCCACCCACTGTGGCCTGTCATCCACCCACTGTGGCCTGTCATCCACCCACTGTGGCCTGTCATCCACCCACTGTGGCCTGTCATCCATGGCCTGTCATCCACCCACTGTGGCCTGTCATCCACCCACTGTGGCCTGTCATCCACCCACTGTGGCCTGTCATCCACCCACTGTGGCCTGTGATCCATGGCCTGTCATCCACCCACTGTGGCCTGTCATCCACCCACTGTGGCCTGTCATCCATGGCCTGTCATCCACCCACTGTGGCCTGTCATCCACCCACTGTGGCCTGTCATCCACCCACTGTGGCCTGTCATCCATGGCCTGACATCCACCCACTGTTGCCTGTCATCCACCCACTGTGGCCTGTCATCCATGGCCTGTCATCCACCCACTGTGGCCTGTCATCCATGGCCTGTCATCCACCCACTGTGGCCTGTCATCCACCCACTGTGGCCTGTCATCCATGGCCTGTCATCCATGGCCTGTCATCCACCCACTGTGGCCTGTCATCCACCCACTGTGGCCTGTCATCCACCCACTGTGGCCTGTCATCCACCCACTGTGGCCTGTCATCCATGGCCTGTCATCCACCCACTGTGGCCTGTCATCCACCCACTGTGGCCTGTCATCCACCCACTGTGGCCTGTCATCCACCCACTGTGGCCTGTGATCCATGGCCTGTCATCCACCCACTGTGGCCTGTCATCCACCCACTGTGGCCTGTCATCCACCCACTGTAGCCTGCCATCCACCCACTGTGGCCTGTCATCCACCCACTGTGGCCTGTCATCCATGGCCTGTCATCCACCCACTGTGGCCTGTCATCAACCCACTGTGGCCTGTCATCCACCTACTGTGGCCTGTCATCCACCCACTGTGGCCTGTCATCTCCCCACTGTGGCCTGTCATCCACCCACTGTGGCCTGTCATCCATGGCCTGTCATCCACCCACTGAGGCCTGTCATCCACCCACTGTGGCCTGTCATCCACCCACTGTGGCCTGTCATCCACCCACTGTGGCCTGTCATCCACCCACTGTGGCCTGTCATCCACCCACTGTGGCCTGTCATCCACCCACTGTGGCCTGTCATCCACCCACTGTGGCCTGTCATCCACCCACTGTGGCCTGTCATCCACCCACTGTGGCCTGTCATCCACCCACTGTGGCCTGTCATCCACCCACTGTGGCCTGTCATCCATGGCCTGTCATCCACCCACTGTGGCCTGTCATCCACCCACTGTGGCCTGTCATCCACCCACTGTGGCCTGTCATCCACCCACTGTGGCCTGTCATCCATGGCCTGTCATCCACCCACTGTGGCCTGTCATCCATGGCCTGTCATCCACCCACTGTGGCCTGTCATCCACCCACTGTGGCCTGTCATCCACCCACTGTGGCCTGTCATCCACCCACTGTGGCCTGTCATCCATGGCCTGTCATCCACCCACTGTGGCCTGTCATCCACCCGCTGTGGCCTGTCATCCACCCACTGTGGCCTGTCATCCACCCACTGTGGCCTGTCATCCATGGCCTGTCATCCACCCACTGTGGCCTGTCATCCACCCACTGTGGCCTGTCATCCACCCACTGTGGCCTGTCATCCACCCACTGTGGCCTGTCATCCACCCACTGTGGCCTGTCATCCACCCACTGTGGCCTGTCATCCACCCACTGTGGCCTGTCATCCACCCACTGTGGCCTGTCATCCATGGCCTGTCATCCACCCACTGTGGCCTGTCATCCATGGCCTGACATCCACCCACTGTTGCCTGTCATCCACCCACTGTGGCCTGTCATCCATGGCCTGTCATCCACCTACTGTAGCCTGTCATCCACCCACTGTAGCCTGTCATCCACCCACTGTGGCCTGTCATCCACCCACTGTGGCCTGTCATCCATGGCCTGTCATCCACCCACTGGGGCCTGTCATCCACCCACTGTGGCCTGTCATCCACCCACTGTGGCCTGTCATCCACCCACTGTGGCCTGTCATCCATGGCCTGTCATCCACCCACTGTGGCCTGTCATCCACCCACTGTGGCCTGTCATCCACCCACTGTGGCCTGTCATCCACCCACTGTGGCCTGTCATCCATGGCCTGTCATCCACCCACTGTGGCCTGTCATCCATCCACCAATGGCCAAGAAGACACTCTGGCCTGTCATCTACCCACTGTGGCCAATGGCCAAGAAGACACAGTGGCCTAGTTCAATGGACTCACCTTCTCTTGCTACTGTATCTCCTCTTGTCAGCTGCTGCAATCAAAGGGAAACAAACAAATTGACTGAAGGGAAACAAACAAACAAATTGACTGAAGTGAAACAAACAAACAAATTGACTGAAGGGAAACAAATTGACTGAAGGGAAACAAATTGACTGAAAGGAAACAAATTGACTGAAGGGAAACAAATTGACTGAAGGGAAACAAACAAACAAATTGACTGAAGGGAAACAAATTGACTGAAGGGAAACAAACAAACAAATTGACTGAAGTGAAACAAACAAACAAATTGACTGAAGGGAAACAAACAAATTGACTGAAGGGAAACAAACAAACAAATTGACTGAAGGGAAACAAATTGACTGAAGGGAAACAAACAAACACATTGACTGAAGGGAAACAAACAAACAAATTGACTGAAGGGAAACAAACACATTGACTGAAGGGAAACAAACAAATTGACTGAAGGGTAACAAACAAATTGACTGAAGGAAAACAAATTGACTGAAGGGTAACAAACAAATTGACTGAAGGGAAACAAATTGACTGAAGGGAAACAAATTGACTGAAGGGAAACAAACAAATTGACTGAAGGGAAACAAATTGACTGAAGGGAAACAAATTGACTGAAGGGAAACAAACAAATTGACTGAAGGGAAACAAATTGACTGAAGGGAAACAAATTGACTGAAGGGAAACAAACAAATTGACTGAAGGGAAACAAATTGACCAAAGGGTAACAAATTGAACTAAGGGAAACAAACAAATTGACTGAAGGGAAACAAACAAACAAATTGACTGAAGGGAAACAAATTGACTGAAGGGAAACAAACAAACAAATTGACTGAAGGGTAACAAACAAATTGACTGAAGGGAAACAAACACATTGACTGAAGGGAAACAAACAAGCAAATTGACTGAAGGGTAACAAACAAATTGACTGAAGTGAAACAAACAAACAAATTGACTGAAGTGAAACAAACAAACAAATTGACTGAAGGGAAACAAACAAATTGACTGAAGGGAAACAAACAAACAAATTGACTGAAGGGAAACAAACAAATTGACTGAAGGGAAACAAACACATTGACTGAAGGGAAACAAACAAACAAATTGACTAAAGGGTAAAAAACAAATTGACTGAAGGGAAACAAACAAACAAATTGACTGAAGGGAAACAAACAAATTGACTGAAGGGAAACAAACAAATTGACTGAAGGGAAACAAACAAATTGACTGAAGGGTAACAAACAAATTGACTGAAGGGTAACAAACAAACAAATTGACTGAAGGGAAAAAAAACAAATTGACTGAAGGGAAACAAACAAACAAATTGACTGAAGGGAAACAAACAAATTGACTGAAGGGTAACAAACAAATTGACTGAAGGGAAACAAATTGACTGAAGGGTAACAAACAAATTGACTGAAGGGAAACAAACTGACTGAAGGGAAACAAATTGACTGAAGGGAAACAAACAAATTGACTGAAGGGAAACAAATTGACTGAAGGGAAACAAATTGACTGAAGGGAAACAAATTGACTGAAGGGAAACAAATTGACTGAAGGGAAACAAATTGACTGAAGGGAAACAAATTGACTGAAGGGAAACAAATTGACTGAAGGGAAACAAACAAATTGACTGAAGGGAAACAAATTGACTGAAGGGAAACAAACAAATTGACTGAAGGGAAACAAACACATTGACTGAAGGTAAATAAACAAATTGACTGAAGGAAATAAACAAATTGACTGAATTGTGTTGAGAGCAACTAGAGCAGTGGTTCCCAAACTTATTCGGATGGCGACCCCCTTTTATAAAAAGTAAGTGACCCGTGACCCCTATATAATTAAAAAGTCGAAATTAGTAAGGAAATGAATACGCACTAAAACAGATGTACTAGTAGACTTTCAATGTTAATTATTCTTGATAACTGTTTTAATACGATGAGTGAAATTACATGTTATTAACTAGCCTCAACATTCGCAGTTGAGTTTTTGTAAACGCCTACCTCATGTTATTCTCAACATTTAATTAATTTTTTTGCTTTTTGTTTTCAATTGGAGAAGTGTTGAAACTATTCTCGCAAAGATATGTTGACAAAAAGGAACTAAAACTCGAAAGGCAAATCTTGTAATTCATCTGCAATGCTTAAAACAGAGAAAGGGTAACGTGTCAATGCAGTTTCTTCTACTTTAAGCTCAGGTAAATAACATCCGTAGAAACCCCACAGCTATTTTTCTATTTTGATCATTCGGTTTCAAAAGAACGTATTTATTTTCTCCATGATATCTTCACAAAATAGAAACTTTTTTTTCTATCATCTGAATTAATATTTTTAACAAAGACAAGCAACTGACAACACCAACTTACGTACGTTGATTCATCAATTTGAAAAGCAAACAATGGTGAAAGCTTGATTTCACTCTAAATGTGTTCTTTAACATCTACGGACATGTCTGCTATACGCCGCTGATTAGACTTAGATATTTTTTGCATCTTTACTGTGCTGCAATTCTGAATCATTAATATCAGCATCTTCAACATTTTCCTATTTCTTAGCTTGGCAATTTCTAATGCGACTTCTTATGATGCTTGCACTAACGCTATGTTTCCTTGGTGAATACTTCATTTTCGATCAAGTCTCTGACTTTAGCAACTAACTTCATGCCCAAGAAAGAACTCCCAATCTTTTTCGTGTGTTTTGAATGACGTGTCTCAAAATGACGTTTTAGTTTTGAAGGTTTTATAGATTCATGACTGAGAACAACTTTGCACTTTGCTTCTTCTTTATTTAATTTCCAGTAATGTTAGTAAAACCCAAATTCAGATATTCTTCTAAATATTTTTGTTGTTTTTTCATTACTTTTGTTTAGTATACCAGTTGGGGACCCTCCAGAAAGTGCCAGTTTGGGAACCCATGAACTAGAGTATTGTCTTTGTTAAGACCAGTTTGGGAACCCATGAACTAGAGTATTGTCTTTGTTAAGACCAGTTTGGTAACCCATGAACTAGAGTATTGTCTTTGTTAAGACCAGTTTGGGAACCCATGAACTAGAGTATTGTCTTTGTTAAGACCAGTTTGGTAACCCATGAACTAGAGTATTGTCTTTGTTAAGACCAGTTTGAGAACCCATGAACTAGAGTTTTGTCTTTGTTACAGTTAAGACCAGTTTGAGAACCCATGAACTAGAGTATTGTCTTTGTTAAGACCAGTTTGGGAACCCATGAACTAGAGTATTGTCTTTGTTAAGACCAGTTTGAGAACCCATGAACTAGAGTATTGTCTTTGTTAAGACCAGTTTGGGAACCCATGAACTAGAGTATTGTCTTTGTTAAGACCAAAATGATAGAGCCAGTAATGAAGCAATGAACCAGAATCTACTACATTTATATCAGTGTTACTTTTTTGTCTGTCCTTTTTGTTGAGCTGTTGTTTTTCAGCCTGAATGCAATGGTGAACGTCAGTTATATCAAGTTGAGTTCTTCTATTCACCCAGCTCTCTTCTTCACGGCTTGGCTGCCAGTCTATGGAACCTGAGGCTGAAAAGTCAAATGACCTTGATAAAGGTGTTCAAGAATCAGACAAGAAGAGTAGCCCTCACCCCACCCCCCTCTGCTTTAGTAAGATTGCTCAGACTATTTGCAGCAGGAAAATATTTGACTCAATTTTTAAAAAATAGCACTTACTTATAGCAGCCAACTTGTGTCTTGCAAATTCATTTAAAATTTGAGAGAGCCCAAATCCCAAGATAGTGGTGGCAGGAGTTTTCCCCGTCTTGAGCAGCTGCCAGTACTCCACTAGATCTGGGCACTCCAGTAGGAAGGTCTGGAGAGTTTTGTGCAAATTCTTTTCTTTTAAGTAACCTGGAATACACAAGTAATCAAAGAAATTCTTTTCTTTTAAGTAACCTGGAATACACAAGTAATCAAAGAAATTCTTTTCTTTTAAGTAACCTGCAATAAACAAGTAATCAAAGAAATTCTTTTCTTTTAAGTAACCTGCAATACACAAGTAATCAAAGAAATTCTTTTCTTTTAAGTAACCTGCAATACACAAGTAATCAAAGAAATTCTTTTCTTTTAAGTAACCTGGAATACACAAGTAATCAAAGAAATTCTTTTCTTTTAAGTAACCTGGAATACACAAGTAATCAAAGAAATTCTTTTCTTTTAAGTAACCTGGAATACACAAGTAATCAAAGAAATTCTTTTCTTTTAAGCAGCCTGGAATACACAAGTAATCAAAGACATAAGTTTTAGTTGGACATTAGGCTAGTAGCCTGGAATACACAAGTAATCAAAGACATAAGTTTTATTAGGACATTAGGCTAGTAGCCTGGAATACACAAGTAATCAAAGAAATTCTTTTCTTTTAAGTAGCCTGGAATACACAAGTAAAGGAGCTTATGAGCACCCCTATTTAACAATTTAAAAAAGGGAAATATTAAAGCAAGATCTCAATAGGCCTAGGCCTAAATCATTTAGAATTACAAGAAAAAAAATCGCAACAAAAAGAAAAGATATATTCTGCATCTTAAAAGAATTATTGTTTAACTAAATCTTAACAATTTTATTTTTATTGGCTGGTCGGAATAGCCCCCGGCACTATGACTATAAGGACCCGGGTCCCAATAGCGGCTGTGACTATTGGGACCCGAGTCAGAATAGTTGAATCCATATTTTAACCAAAATCATCTTATGCTACCTAATGCCAATGGCAGGCTAAGTTAATTTTGAGTTAATCAAATGGCTTACAAGTTTACAAGTTACTTAACTATCTATATATATAATTCTCTTCTTCGAGCCGTTAGAAAACAAGCTGCAAACGCTCTCCCTACCTCCCCACCCCTACATGGTTTTAGTGAGCTGTGTTCACTCTAAATGTTTACAAGCAGAGCCAACGATTTTAAACGTAGGGGGGGGGGGGGAGGAGGGGGGAGGGAAGGAAGGGGGGGGGGGGTTATGGTCCTTAACGAGCTACTTATAGTGTTTTAAAGAAATATTTTCAGTGTCAGCGTTGGTACTGTCGAATTCACAAATTATGAATTATTGAAAATTAGAAACAACTAAATAGCGGCGTATGTTATGCCGCGGGCCGGCTCGTACATACTAAACTAGTCCAGATCTTACTTAGATTTAAAAAGATCTAGATCTACCTACTAGTTATGTTATACTGTTATGTTATACCTACCTAATATTAGTCTTGCAACCTCAGAGGGCACAAAGTAATCTTGATCTTGTTTTGAACTCATTAGTCTGGTTAATTTTTTTTAGGCCTAACTAACTACTAGAATAGACAGTACTGTCAGTACTTTGAGTACTCGAGTCTAGTAGCAGTAGTAGTACTTAACTAAGAATCTAAGATCTAGAGAGATCTAGCTACACTCACTACTCACTAGACTAGTGTCACTTAGGGTAGCTGCTAAAAGTGCTAGAGATTAAAATTTAAGAGTTTAAGAAAAAGTTTAAAAGACTAAGACTACTAAGACTAAGAGACCTCTAGCTTTCTAGAGATCTAATAATAATAATATTAATAATATTAGGCCTATTTTATTGACATTAACAATAACATGGTTCTATTTTTGTTTATATTAATACTGTGAAATATTGTAACTGTCATTTTTATGGTCCTTTTTTTATTTTATTTAACTATTCAAATCAAATACCAGAATCTAGTCTATGGTCGCACTAAATGACGAGATCTAATTTTCTGAAAAATAACGTGGGAGTGAGCTCCCTTAGTAAATTTTTTATCTTATGTATGGCGTAGGCACGAAAATTAAAATTTGAGATGGCACTTTTAGGTCGATGGGGCTATAGATCTATATAAAATAGATCTATCTAGATCTAGAACCTTTTAAAAATAAAACGGTTGTTTTTACAGAAAACACGTGGAGGCGAAATGTCATAAGAATATCAGTTATGAGAATATGATACAAATTATCTCTTCCGACAGTTTTTTGAAAAATCGGAAAATAAGTTGCCCTTCCGTATACCGGAAATCTACGTACAGGAGCTAGAAATCTAGTGTTAATATAAGAAATTTCGTCAACCTCATACGGTACTCAAGTTAACAGTATTTTAGAAACAGGAAAAAGAGCAAAAGTACCACCTTCTGATATTTATATTGGAGGTCACTCAGAAATTAAAAGAATATATAATATGTATAACGTAGTTTTTTTCTACCTAATTGAAATAGTACAAGTTATTTTATTCCCAAGGAAATACAGTAAATTACCCTTTCCTATTACCGGAAATAGTTGAAAAGTTTCAGGAGTCTGAAAATACAATGTACTATTTATATGTGAAATTTCAGCCACCTAACTTTTTTTTGTAATTAAAGTTACAGTACCCAAGTTCTCGTCTTTTGAGAGTCAATGCAACCTTCTGTTACCGGAAATAGCTTAAAAAATCAAGATAAAAGAAATAATTGGATTTGATATATATGAAATTTCGACAACCTACTAAAATAGTACAAAAGTTATCGTGTTTACATACGCAAACACACACAGAAAAAATTGCAAAACAAAACTGGTCCAACTCAATATATTTAAAAAATTATCTATTTGTATTTTTTTTTTTGCATGATTACAATGCTCCCTGTATACTCTAAGTAAAAAAAAAACCAAAAAACACTATTGAAAACAAGATGCATTTACATCTCTTCTTATGTGGTATTATATTCATCAGTCAAAATGTGACACTAAATTCATCCATCTGATTGTGAAATCATATTAATCTATCTGAATGTTGTGTGCTGACGAAGATCATTGTACCTGTATTTGTGTTTAATTTGTGAGCATACTAACACTTCCCACCACTTCTGATTATATAATAATTATGGACATTTCTGGTTCCTTACAAACGTATGTAAGCACACCTTGTGGGAAAACTCCGTCAGTAGTTCGATCTTCTCTGCACCATACAACACAATTACAGAAACCGGAATCGCCGATACGTTTACTTTTTTGTTCCCAATACTAATCTAGTTGGAGTTTGCGTTGTGTAACTTCGATTTCAAAATCATTTAATTACTGGACAAATCATGTCGCTGACTAGAAAGAAAAAAGTTATAAGGTTATAGCTAAATGTAGCGTGACGGATAAAACAGTGTTTTTTCTTCTAAAAATAGATTTTATTTAATGATGCACTGAAAAGGGGAAAATAAATGATTATAATATATAGATCTAGATCTATATAGATTTCTAAATATACATTACTATTTTAATAACTATAAAGAAAAGCGTGGGTAGCTTCCTAAATATCAGTAAAGGTACCTATAGATAATATAGCGGGTACCTATAGATAATATTGCGGGTATCTATAGATAATATAGCGGGTACCTATAGATAATATTGCGAGACCGTGCTCTTCTTTACAGTTATTTAAATAGTAATGTATTATTATATATTTAAAGAAAATCATTGTTTTTCTCTTTTTAAGTGCATTATAATAATGATTATTGCACCGAAGCTTGTTATTAAAAACGTTTTTTATGCATTTTTTCATACAGTAGAGTTGTGTGACTAAAACCTTTTGCGTACCTAATGAACATGATAACGCGCGTATAATAGTAGAACAAGACTGCCTACTAATTTTAGAAAATATTAATTAATTCATTAAAAAATTAATTAGTCATCCAATTTAGTCTAATTTAATGTCATATTGCATTGTCTTCATTTTTTTTTGCCGTTTTATGCTGATGGGTCATGATAGAAAACACATGAGTGTAGTGTTTAGTTAGTTGCCGTTTCCCTCTTCCTTTCTAATTCTGGATTTGGGACCAGATAATGTCGGAGTTAGTATTAAGTGTGCTGACATTTTATTTTGATGGTGAATTTAATCCCCGTGAATTTAATCCCCGTGAATTTAATCTCCGTGAATTTAATCCCCGTGAATTTAATCCCCGTGAATTTAATCTCCGTGAATTTAATCCCCGTGAATTTCGCCAGGTTTTCGCTTCACTTCTCAGGACGAATGAAAATAGTGTTTGGGTTTTTAACGGCGTCTCTCGTATTTAAAGTCATTTCCTACATGTTCGTCCCGAATGATGACCCGAGTCTCAAGGAATCATCTCTCATCCATTCAGCCTTGAGCAGTTCAGAGAGGCAAGAAAAAAACATTCCGTCCAGACGGGAGCACAGGGTTGACTGCTCGGCAATCATCAATGGTGATATGCTGGAAATTAAAAAAGCTGAAGCGTTAGCACGGAAGTTACGTCAGGAAGGGGCATATTTAACCGCAGCTCGTTACAGAAGGTTGTGCGAGAATTGCAGTGAATTTCTTTTGAAGCGAGGCTATGTAACATCCCCACTTACCCCCCGAGAACGGGGATTCCCCATCGCTTATTCTATTTTGGTTGCAGAAGATATAGAAATGGCTGAACGTCTGCTCCGTGCCATCTATCGGCCCCAGAATTATTACTGCGTTCATGTTGATCTTAAGGCTTCTGAAGTGAATGAAGCCTTTGTGTCCATGTCCTCCTGCTTGCCCAATCTGGTCATACCTGAGAGACGTGTTTCAGTCGAGTGGGGAAAACTCTCTGTACTGGAGGCGGAGCTGCAATGTATGGAGACACTCTGGCCCCGCCCCGCTTGGAAATACTTCATTAATCTGACGGGCAAAGAGTTCCCACTCAAGACAAATGCAGAACTTGTTGAGATTTTGATAGCACTCCAAGGTGCTAACGACGTACACGGCACTTTAAAAGAGTGAGTTTCTTTTAGATGAGCATTTTTTCATGTCTGCCATTCAGATGTGTCCTTTGTGTGTCCCCTTTATGTCTGCCATTCAGATGTGTCCTTTGTGTGTCCCATTTATGTCTGCCATGTCTAACCCTAACCCTAACCCCTCCCCCTCCTTTCCCCAACCCCTTACCCCCCCCTCCTCCCCTCCTCCCCCCCCCCCCCGTGAGAGCAGCCTCCTCTTAGTTACCGCCTCTAAGTTTAAAATAGCTTCCAAACTAAATTATCTGCCCCTAATAGCCTTCACTAAACCCGGCTCTACGATTGTAAACATTTAGCGTGAACCACAGCTCACCAGACCATGTGGGGGTGGGGGTGGTTGCGATATGCCTAGAGATGAAGAAAGGGGGTTGCTAGGCGCGCTTACAGCTTGGTGTTTTCTAACTTCTCCAAGAAGAGAATTATATATATATATATATATATATATATATATAGATAGATAGATAGATATTACAACTACCCTTGTTGGGCTTTGTTAGTAAATGATGGTTTAAATCAGGGGTCTCCAAACTTTTCAGTCCGAGGGCCGCATTAACTATCAAATTTCAGTTCGGGGGCCAGTTTCTTCTAGGCATGTCTTTGATTTTTCTGGTCAAAGTTCCTCAGCAATCACTGACAAACGATTTTTCCTTGGACAAAAAGATCTCCGCGGGCCGGATGAGAGGACTTCGCGGGCCGCATCCGGCCCGCGGGCCGTAGTTTGGAGACCCCTGGTTTAAATGATGAAGTAATAAACCAAGGCCGTATTTGTTAACGTTTTATGTGGAGGCTAAGTGTGGGTTACCTCAAGTTTTTGTTGCTCTACTGATTTTATTAACAGCATAACTAACTCTTCCATAATACAAAACCTATGGCATTGGTCAGAGGTTTTGAATAGAATCTGTGTCGTAATGATACTGTGCTAGCGATTGATACAATCAAACAATTGTATTGGCAGAACTTACAGGGAAAATTGGCGATTCCCTCACCGAGCTGTTTGGTTTCGCCCAATGAAGGGCTCCACTCACGTGACTCTTAGCCGAGCCTTCGTCGACTTTGTGCTTCATAACAAACGGGCGAGGGACGTCTTCAAGTGGGTGACAACTTTGAAATCATTTCACGATGAGGCTTTCTTTTCAACCCTAAACCATAACCCTCATCTGGGCGCACCTGGCTCTTATAAAGGTAGGGCTCAAGGTCAAAAGTTCATTATATTCACTTCAAACTATCCTACCTGTATCTTATTGTAAGCCCTGCTAGGGGGGGGGGGGATACCTAAAATCTATCTAGCTTCAGGCTTATCTAACCAACTACTGTCCGGTCAGTGCAAGCCCGGATAAACCCAGACTGGTTAATAACCTAACCTTAGTCTAAATAACAACACAAAAAAAAGCTTTAACAAATACTATAAAATTTATTTAGCAAAATATGGAACCAAAAGTTATAAAAAAAGAATAGATAAAAACTGACACAAAACAGAACCAAACGAAACAAACTTTTTACATCAAACAAAACAATTCATATATAACAAAACACCCAGCCAAGTTGCCCAAGCAACCTCACTGGAAGGGGGGGGGGGGGAAGAGAAAAAGAAAAGGAAAACATAAGAAAATGCATGGTAATGGCAGATATATACATAAATATATACACAAGTTCAAAATGCTACCTACTACTACTATCTAGCTAAAGCCTCGAGTAAAACTAATCCTTACTATTATAATTTTAAAAGCAATTCTCAAAAACACAACTAACCACTGTCTAACCAAGAACTAGCAACTTAAAAATAACGTGTAAACAAATTCATTGTAGAACCAATCTTTCCAACACAAGGAGCAGCCCGAAGCCATTGGTCTACATAAACAATATCCATATTGATAACATTAAAGCTAACACACTCCGCTAAGGCCCCAATGAAGGCAGACACAAAGCAAGCGATACTCAACATGAAGTTGCACGAAACAGCACACACATTAATTTTAAACAACCTAAAACTCGAGGCAACTAAAATATACTAATTTACTAATCTAATTACTGTCTAAAACAACTGACTATTGACTAAGCCAATCCTAGTCAATAACACATCATAAAACAATCAGGTAAATGCACACACGCATTCACACCAGTTTAGGAAACACTCCTAAACACACTGACCTAAACCACGTGGTCCGAAACACACGCCACGGTTTTAGAAAACACAATAATACATTTAAAAAAATAACAAAATAACACACCACGTGCTCACTATCTCGTTTTAGACGAAAATGAAAGAAAACGAGAAACATCGGCAGTCGCATTCATACAAATCACATAAAGATAAAGTATAAAAAAACAAATACCTCCACGCGTGAGGTGCGCCACGCGCCAACACAGAAACCTGACCCGACCTACATCTCGCCGCGGGTCAAAAAGGAAGAAAATCCTCCGAGCGGTCAATTTATACTGACCGCTTCGGACGGAAGGGGGACCCCGTGGCTGTTCTCCATTGGACCATACACTCGCAGATTCGCATCAAATAAAATAATGCAAAATAATCCATTCACCCGCTCACATTATGCATGCCTATTATTGTGAATCAGAACAATTGACTCAGGGACATTTTTATCAAACAATTTCAACCTACCTTAGGGTTAGGGTTAGGGTTATCATCTTAGTCTCAGATGTTCAAAAGTTCTACTGAAGAATTATTTTTTTAGCCCAACTCTAAATATCCTAATATAAAAAGGCCATGTGCGCACTTCTCTCTCTCTCTCTCTCTCTCTCTCTCTCTCTCTCTCTGTCCGCAAAATATGTTCGCATGCTATCACATCAGTATCTTCAGCGATTTATGGAGAACTTGATACGGACTTATGTTGAAAATATTATGTTAGATGTTTTAAATGTATAAACACAATTTTATTTGAGGAAGAAAAATAAAAAATTAAGGCATATTCGAATGTAGAAAAACAATTTTAAGTATGCAACAGGTAAAGTGTTTATAGTTGTGAAAAGTACGCATGAAACAATGACGTCACTATTGTTTATACTATGGACACAACTAATGACGTCATCTTCCGAGTTTTAAATATAAAGAAATGAACTAGGCCTATTTCATTCCAATATGATTTAGATCTACGTACGCTATGAAATGTATACAATACAATTTTCTCGGCCTACACTTAAAAAAATTACTTTATCTATTAGGATTCTAGATCTAGATATTCTAGATCTAGAGATTCTAGATCTAGTTTTAGATGATCTAGATCTACGGAAAAACTAGACCTAGACAGATCTAGACTAGATCTAAACCCTACCTAGATCTAGAATCTATTCCGATAATAAATTTCTATACTAAACTATTTCAGGCCTTAATTATTTTGTTGAAATCTTTGTTTGTTTAGCTATTCAATTGGCTAATTTGTGATAAAATGTAATTTGAAAGAATAGGGCTTATTCGCGTAAGTTAAGTTTCTTAACTTACTTTTTTATCTTTATACTACTAAAAGTCAAGTTTGTTTACATGTTTGAATATTTATTTGTGTTTTTGTTTGTTTTTTTGTTTGGCTGATTGACTATTGCGCATGGTTGCACTCATCGTGGAGAGCTGTAAAATAGTATGTAGGTAGAGAAAATTTTTTGTTTTAAGACAGACTGTTAATCACACATTTATTTAAAGACGTTAATTAATTTATTGATTTATTCATACGTAGAGTAACCCTATTTTTTTAAAAAGTTTAGAACGACCACTACACTCGGCGGGACCGTGACGTCACAGTTTTTTGTTTACTCTTTAGTACAATAAAATGGCGGCGTCTATCGAAGAAAATTGTGTTCCCATTCAAAAGTTAAACGTGTTCTAAATCTAATTTTCTGTCGGTCATAACTTTAACAATACGTCCGTTTGCTGTATTTATTACGTTCCAACACTTATATCAATTTTCAACTCTCTTTTTTCATTTAGTTTAACAATAAATTTCTCTAGATCTAAAGATCAGCTGTCGAAGGAAAGTTATGAATCTAGCCTAGATCTAGCCTAGATCTAGGTCACTAGACTCAATGTAAATTCTAGATCTAGACTTAATGTAAATTCTACATCTAGAATCTATTTCAGGCCTTAATACATCTATAATCTATTTCAGGCCTTAATTATTTTATATAAATCTTTGTTTGGCTAATTTAAGATAAAATTTAATTTGAAAGTTACTACTACTAGACTTAGATCTAGATCTATGCGCGTAAATCAAGTTGCATAAGGAGACTCAAAGTATAGTATAAAAATTCATTTGTGACGTCACGAGTAAATCATATTGAGCATACCCTTGCAGCTTTGTGCTATGCCTTCTATATGTGTGTTCCAGGTCAGCATGGGGTCAAGAGTGACTCCTAGGAACCTTGTGGCCTGGGCTATTTTTATGACTGTATTGTTAATTTTTAGTGAGACCTGTTTGGTGATGGTTCGTGACTTTTTGTGGGTGAAGACCATTCCTACCGTTTTGGATGCGTTTATTCGGTGTTTTTAAAAGATAAAAAACATTTTTGAATGTGGGGTCTGTTTTTTTGTGACGATAAGTGACACTGCAGTAGCGTAGCGAGGAGGGGGGGGGGCGGGAGGGGGACGGGAGGCGGGGGGGGGGGGGAAGGGGGAGGCGGGGGGAAAAGGGGGCTTGGGGGGGGGGACATATGTTGGGGCGCCAAAATGGTTTGGAAAAATAAATTGAAAGGTTGAGGGGGTGCAAATCGAAAGTTTGAGTGGGGGGGGGGGGGTGCACATCAAAAGTTTGAGGGGGGGGGGTGCAAATCGAAATCTTGTGGGGAGGGGGGGTTCAAATCGAAAAGTTTGTCCCCGGGCGCCGGGAAGGGTCGCTATGCCTCTGAGTGACAGACGTGATGTTTTTTGATGGATGACCCCCGAAACCCACAGTTATCCAACGGATGACGGGTATTCTAGTTCTCCATTAAAATTAATGTGTTTAATTAGCTGAGATGATAGTGTAAGTGACACCATGCAGGTGGTGCGGGTTCGAGACACATAAAGTCAATCTTAAATATAATTTTTTTTTCAGTTTGTTTTATTATATGTGAATGATAAAGTGGCCTATCGGGACTTGGCGGGTCACGGGGCAGGTGAAGTAGAGTTCACCTGTTTTTGTAAGGGATAGTGTGGTAAGCCCCATGCTCTGCCGAAATAGGTGTTTTTAAAAGACAAAAACAACATAACTACCATTGAACAGCCGGCTTTTTAACGAAATCTTTTAAGTCTCTTAATGTTAAGTCTCTTAATCAGCGAGTGCATTTAATATGGTACTGTGTTGACTAATACTGTATATACTGTATATAACATTTGGTTTTAGTTTTTTTAATAGGTATTGGTAGTCTATGTTCGTTTAAACAAGTATAAACATAGACAGTACATATAACAAACCCCCTTTTTTCATAATCTTAAGAATGTTTCATTCCAATGTTTCTTTTCCTAAGTTTCCGATAATGACTTTTCATTTCATTACTCACTTTCCGTAGGTATATACATTTTCTTCAGGCATCTCTACCGTTTCTTCCCCTTTCACCTCCGAACGAAATTGAAAAAAAGTAATTCATAAAACAAGTTAATAAAAAGTCTATTGACAATTTAAGTGCAATTTCCTTAATTAATTTTTTGTGACCGAATGAAAGGATATTTTTGAAAACTTTCTTCGGCAATATTGTTCTAAATTATGGCAGGAATCGATTGGTACATGTTTCAAGTCGCTAAGTGGTCTGGTTGCCGAGACATGGGCCAAAAACTGCATTTTTTCGAGGTTTTTTGGCTTTTCCGGGAAATCCAGGAAGGAATTCCGGGATTTTTTTTGGCCCACAATCATCCTCGGAACTTGCTTAACATATTTGCTTTGGAACTAGTCCTCGATATTGCTTCGTTGAGGAGGAGATATGACTTAAAGCTGCGGACACACATCGGACACACATCCATCCTTGACGAGTTAATAATCGCAATTGTCCGTATGGAAATTGCGGTAAAAAAAATATAGAAAAAAACAGTAACCGCTACCCCCCCCCCCCCCCTTCCACACCCAACCCCCACACCCTCCTCCGCGCAGTTTTAAACGCCGCTACCCGGAGATAAATATCTAATAGAAAAAACCGGGTAGCCTTTTGTAAAGAGAAGAGAGCTAAAAATCACTAGAATAGCCCGTGTAACGGGTACCGATGGCTAGTAACTAATAAATAATAAAATATTAATAAAAGTAATATTCACTTGAATTCAATTTTTATTCTCGTATACGAAGTACAGAGGAAGTATTGTGATCGTGCAAAAATTCGAAATCTAGATTTTCACAAATCTCAACGTTTTACACCTCCCTGAGTCGGGAAAGCATAGTTTTGAAATTTTGTACGTATGTCTGTATGTATGTGTGTAAGTCTGTGAACATGATAACTTGAGTACCCTTATAGCTAGGTTGATGAAATTTCATATATAGGGCCTAACTATTGAATCGAATATGTAGTTCTGTATCAACTTTTCAGAGATTTCCATTAACCGGAAGTAGAACTTATTCTTCTGGTTTAGAATAGAGGCAGTATTGTCATCGTGCACAAAAATCACATGAATTTTTGAGTTTTCATCGTTTTACACCTCAGTACTTCATCATATAGGGAGGACAGTTTTCATCGTTTTACACCTCAGTACTTCATCATATACGGAGTATAGGGGACGCATAAAACCTCTTAATTTTGATAAATCTGGATTGATAATTTTTGCCCGATTAAAATAAGTCCTCTATACTTCGGATGCGATGAACGACTGAGGTGTAATACGGTGAAAATTGTTAAAATTTCAAGTGATTTTTGTGCACGATTACAATACTTTCTCTATACTTCGTATATACGAGAAAGTAAAAAGAGCAAAAACAATTTGGTTTTCACGTATTATGGCGACATAAACAATGGCATCCTGCCATAAATTTTATTGTACACATTGTAAGCTAAAAAAAGAAAAAAACAACTAGGTCATGGGATTTAAATTTGCATTGTTATATTTAAAAACTTTATGTGCAAAGTTTTGTAAACAAATAGTTATCGATCACGGAGTTCCTGTACAGCCAATCAATATTTGTCTTAACGAAAGTGAAACATCCGGTTATAACTTAGGCTTGATGAAAATAAATAGAAATGTAGCCTTAAACTCAACAAATTATTTTCAAGTTCTCTGGATTTGCAACTTTTATAGCATTGATTCTAAAAAATATAAAATTTCTGAATTAATTTTAGGCTTAATATTTTATTTTTTTTATTATTTTTACGGTTTGCTAAATCTAAATAAACCGGGAGTGATCTCCCCTAAACTTTCTCGAATATTCTTATATAAAATATCAGGGGATGGGAACTCGGGCTATAGACATGATTTTTACAAGCTTTTATTACAAGCTTTTATTTAACTCACTTCCTCGTCAGTCTGTCGTCAGTCTGTCTAGACGGAAACGCAGGAGTGAAAATTCGGACAGTTCTACTTGACCGATACGATTCACAGTTGGCACGTGGGTCAAGACATGAAGACAATGCAATCTGAAACTAAATTTGACTTAATTGGATGCCTAATTAATTTTTTATGAATTAATTAAAATTTGGACCGAATTAGTAGGCATGTCTAGCCAACCACACCACACGCGTCATCACCTTCAATAGCTGCGCCATCACGTAATGGCTGCGTTCAAAAACCATTGCGCGCCTACTGAACGTGATGTTCAGTAGGCGCGCAATGGTTTTTAGTCATGTAACTCTATTGTAAATAAAACATGTAAAGTACTGAAAAAAAAATTCATAAAAAACGTTTTAATAACAAGCTTTTATGTAATGATGCACTAAAAAGTAGAAAATAAATTATAGACTACTATTTAAATAACTATAAAGAAAAGCGTGGGTGTCTTCCTTAACATTAGTAAAGGTATCCAATAGATACTAAAGTGACCCACGCTTTTCTTTATAGTTATTTAAATAGTAGTCTATAATTTATTTTCTACTTTTTAGTGCATCATTACATAAAAGCTTGTTATTAAAACGTTTTTTATGAATTTTTTTTTAACTCACTTCCTCTGTCGTAAGTCGTCAGTCTAGACGGAAACGAAGGAGTGAAAATTCGGACAGTTCTACTTGACCGATACGATTCACATTTGGCACGTGGGTCAAGACATGAAGACAATGCAATCTGAAACTAAATTTGACTTAATTGGATGCCTAATTGATTTTTTATGAATTAATTAAAATTTGGACCGAATTAGTAGGCATGTCTAGCCAACCACACCACACGCGTCATCAATAGCTGCGCCATCACGACCACGTAATGGCTGCGTTCAAAAACCATTGCGCGCCTACTGAACGTGATATTCAGTAGGCGCGCAATGGTTTTTAGTCATGTAACTCTATTGTAGATAAAACATGTAAAGTACTGAAAAAAAAAATTCATAAAAAACGTTTTAATAACAAGCTTTTATGTAATGATGCACTAAAAAGTAGAAAATAAATTATAGACTACTATTTAAATAACTATAAAGAAAAGCGTGGGTGTCTTCCTTAACATTAGTAAAGGTATCCAATAGATACTAAAGTGACCCACGCTTTTCTTTATAGTTATTTAAATAGTAGTCTATAATTTATTTTCTACTTTTTAGTGCATCATTACATAAAAGCTTGTTATTAAAACGTTTTTTATGAATTTTTTTTTAATCCATTTTAAATACTTAAAGTTTTAAAAATAGAATAAAATCTCGTAGACAAATTAATTGCACACCAAGTGAACGCCCAATAAAAAAGCGCATAATAGTGCGCAATATTATTAGTACTTTTAAAATTTACATTAGTTTTTTGAGAAATCGGAAGTAGCGTAAATTACTACTTCTAGTCAACGGAAATTACTCAAAATTTAACAGAAGGTAGAGAATTAGATCTTTTACTTACATGTGAAATTTCATTTATCTATCTGAAATAGTACTCAAGTTATAGGCTTTTGAAAAATTCAAAGTAGGAAAAGTACCACTTCCGGTTATCGGAAATCGCTCAAAAGTTGATACGGATCTACGATTTTGATATAATACTTATATATGAAATTTAATCAACCTAGCTGTAACGGTACTCAAGTTATCGTGTTTACACACGGACACACACACAGACACACACACACACAGACATACGGACAAGATTGCAAAATTATGTTTTTCCGTATCAGTGAGGTGTAAAACGTCGAGATTTGTAAAAATCTCGATTTTTTTTTTGTGCACGATTACAATACTTTCTCTATACTTCGTATATACGAGAAAGTAAAAAAGCACGTTTTTTATTCCATGTCAACTACATTATGGAAGTGGAAGGATTCTCGTCAACTCCCTCGCCTCCATTGACAGTTGACAATGATTTTTGGGACCCCTAATCGGTGTCTGTGTGTAGTCAGTAAATACACACTTTGACATTGATCGAAGGATCCGATAAGTTCATTTTATGAGAGATTTTTTATAAGTAATTTGAGTCTAAGGGCATTTCTTTGAATTGTAGGTAACCTAGAGCTGACGGAGGAAAACAAGCCCCATTTGAGCCGGTACAAAGTATGGAATACATCAAATGAGACGTTTTGCTCGGCTAATTCCTGGCTAAGACACATTTGCATATTATCCATTGGTAAAGTCATGATTGAATTCAGCAATGAGAACACAAATATTAATCTGCTTATTTTTAAAGTAATTTATAATGGGTGTTGATATGGGTGGGAGGATGATATGGGTAGGTGGGTGAAGTGGGTTGGGGGGGGGGGGGGGGCGACGACACGAACGATTGGTGGATTAAGGTTGGGAGGAGCAAGTATAGCCTCATTGGGGTGGGGGTGATTCAAAAGTATATATATATATATATATATATATATATATATATAGAGAGAGAGAGAGAGAGAGAGAGAGAGATGTAAGCTCGGGTACTCTGGGCGCCAAGACTTACCGACTTTATTCGGGTATATAGATAAAAATAGCACCCAGTTGGGCGCCGCCCTTACTAAATTTTGCTTTTTTTTAAAGCAGAAACGATCCAAAGGACGGTGCAGTAATACACAAACGACACATCTTTAAAATGATGTGATTTAACACATCTTTAAAATGATGTGATTTGACACATCTTTAAAATGATGTGATTTGACACATCTTTAAAATGATGTGATTTGACAAATCTTTAAAATGATGTGATTTGACACATCTTTAAAATGATGTGATTTGACACATCTTTAAAATGATGTGATTTGACAAATCTTTAAAATGATGTGATTTGACACATCTTTAAAATGATGTGACTTTTAACCTTCAGGCGACTGTAAAAAAAATATTGAAAACTTGGGGGTCAGGGTTAAGGGGTCTCTGTATGTTGCCGCCTCCTCCTCAATCCGCTTCTCAGGTAGCCTTGGGGTTCGGTAATGGTTCAGTAAGGGTTCGGTAATGGTTCAGTAAGGGTTCGGTAATGGTTCAGTAAGGGTTCGGTAATGGTTCAGTAAGGGTTCGGTAGTGTTGGGTTAGGGTCAGGTGGCATTGTGCATTTGCCTATTTCGCCTTTGTGCCGACTTAAGTGTTGTCTCTTGATGTTGCCCCCCCCCCCCCACACACATACACACTTGTGTCTCTACTGCTTCTGTTGTCCATTGACAATTTGTCAACTTTCAGGTGACTTGCCACTGATGGTGCGAAGTGTCAAGTTATTTGCTAACAAGTTTAGCCTGCAGGATGACCGTCTGGCAATCAGCTGTCTGGAGGAATGGCTCTACAATTCTACATTGAACACAAACGTAGGCATTAACACGTCATATTATTCCAACTTGGACTTCGTGAAAAATCAAGTTCGATAAATTCACAAGGCAGTATTCTCTGCAAAGTGTAGATCTTGTTCGTTCATTTGAGATTTCTAGTGCTATAATCACGTTCACTTCACAAATGCCCCCTGACTGACTTCATCAGCGTTTTTGTAACTAATAACTACTGAGGAAATTATGCAGTGCTTGGAATGACAGACGTAACATTTTTTTTTTTTTGCCTTTACCATTATAAAATGTGGAGTTTTTATTGTAAAAAAAGCCGACATTCATTAAAAAATCAAATCATTTTGGAAACAGTACGTTCGTTATTATTTATGTATATTTATGGGAATTCGCCTAAACGTTTGGGATGGAATTTCCGGTGCATCGGGCTATAGAAATAAAGAAGTTTGTGACCAACCCGTTTAAAGTTTGTAACCAACCCGTTAAAAGTTTGTAACCAACCCGTTAGAAGTTTGTGACCAACCCGTTAAAAGTTTGTGACCAACCCGTTAAAAGTTTGTGACCAACCCGTTAAAAGTTTGTGACCAACCCGTTAGAAGTTTGTGACCAACCCGTTAAAAGTGTGTGACCAACCCGTTAAAAGTTTGTGACCAACCCGTTAAAAATGTGTGACCAACCCGTTAGAAGTTTGTGACCAACCCGTTAGAAGTTTGTGACCAACCCGTTAAAAGTTTGTGACCAACCCGTTAAAAGTTTGTGACCAACCCGTTAAAAGTTTGTGACCAACCCGTTAAAAGTTTGTAACCAACCCGTTAAAAGTTTGTGACCAACCCGTTAAAAGTTTGTGACCAACCCGTTAAAAGTTTGTGACCAACCCGTTAAAAGTTTGTGACCAACCCGTTAAAAGTTTGTGACCAACCCGTTAAAAGTTTGTGACCAACCCGCTAAAAGTTTGTGACCAACCCGTTAAAAGTTTGTGACCAACCCGCTAAAAGTTTGTGACCACCCCGTTAAAAGTTTGTGACCAACCCGCTAAAAGTTTGTGACCAACCCCTAAACCATCTGTCCAGCCCCTAAACCATATGTCCAGCCCCTAAACCATATGTCCAGCCCCTAAACCCTATGTCCAGCCCCTAAACCATATGTCCAGCCCCTAAACCATATGTCCAGCCCCTAAACCATCTGTCCAGCCACTAAACCATCTTTCCAGTCCCTAAACCATCTGTCCAGCCACTAAACCATCTCTCCAGCCCCTAAACCATATGTCCAGCCCCTAAACCATATGTCCAGCCCCTAAACCATCTGTCCAGCCACTAAACCATATGTCCAGCCCCTAAACCATCTGTCCAGCCCCTAAATCATATGTCCAGCCCCTAAACCATCTGTCCCTAAACCATCTGTCCAGCCACTAAACCATCTCTCCAGCCCCTAAACCATATGTCCAGCCCCTAAACCATCTGTCCAGCCCCTAAACCATATGTCCAGCCCCTAAACCATCTGTCCAGCCCCTAAACCATCTGTCCAGCCACTAAACCATCTTTCCAGTCCCTAAACCATCTATCCAGCCCCTAAACCATATGTCCAGCCCCTAAACCATATGTCCAGCCCCTAAACCATATGTCCAGCCCCTAAACCATCTGTCCAGCAACTAAACCCTATGTCCAGCCCCTAAACCATCTGTCCCTAAACCATCTGTCCAGCCACTAAACCATATGTCCAGCCACTAAACCATTCTCTCCAGCCCCTAAACCATATGTCCAGCCCCTAAACCATATGTCCAGCCCCTAAACCATCTGTCCAGCAACTAAACCCTATGTCCAGCCCCTAAACCATCTGTCCCTAAACCATCTGTCCAGCCACTAAACCCTATATCCAGCCCCTAAACCATATGTCCAGCCCCTAAACCATATGTCCAGCCACTAAACCATCTTTCCAGTCCCTAAACCATATGTCCAGCCCCTAAACCATATGTCCAGCCCCTAAACAATCTGTCCCTAAACCATCTGTCCAGCCACTAAACCATCTTTCCAGTCCCTAAACCATATGTCCAGCCCCTAAACCATCTGTCCAGCCCCTAAACCATATGTCCAGCCCCTAAACCATATGTCCAGCCCCTAAACCATATGTCCAGCCCCTAAACCATCTGTCCCTAAACCATCTGTCCAGCCACTAAACCATCTTTCCAGTCCCTAAACCATATGTCCAGCCCCTAAACCATCTGTCCAGCCCCTAAACCATATGTCCAGTCCCTAAACCATCTGTCCAGCCCCTAAACCATATGTCCAGCCCCTAAACCATCTGTCCCTAAACCCTATGTCCAGCCCCTAAACCATCTGTCCCTAAACCATCTGTCCAGCCACTAAACCATCTCTCCAGCCCCTAAACCATGTGTCCAGCCCCTAAACCATCTGTCCCTAAACCATCTGTCCAGCCACTAAACCATCTGTCCAGCCCCTAAACCATATGTCCAGCCCCTAAACCATATGTCCAGCCCCTAAACCATATGTCCAGCCCCTAAACCATATGTCCAGCCACTAAACCATCTCTCCAGCCCCTAAACCATCTGTCCAGCCCCTAAACCATATGTCCAGCCCCTAAACCATCTGTCCAGCCCCTAAACCATCTGTCCAATGAGAGAAATTATAACCCTGAGCTTCTCCCGTACTAACCCCACCCCCTGCCTACTAGTCGTCAATCCTCACCCCCACCCCCTGCCTACTAGTCGTCAATCCTCTCCCCCACCCCCTGCCAACAACTCGTCAATCCTCTCCCCCACCCCCACCCAACAAGTCGTCAATCCTTTCCCCCACCCCCTGCCAGCAAGTCGTCAATCCTCTTCCCCACCCCCACCCAAAAAGTCGTCAATCCTCTCCCCCACCCCCACCCAGTCAATCCTCTCCCCCACCCCCACCCAGTCAATCCTCTCCCCCACCCCCTGCCAACAAGTCAATCCTCTCCCCCACCCAACAAGTCGCCAATCCTCTCCCCCACCCCCACCCCCACCCAACAAGTCGTCAATCCTGTCCCCCACCCAACAAGTCAATCCTCTCCCCCACCCAACAAGTCGTCAATCCTCTCCCCCACCCCCTGCCAACAAGTCGTCAATCCTTTCCCCCACCCCCTGCGAACAAGTCAATCCTCTCCCCCACCCAACAAGTCGTCAATCCTCTCCCCCACCCCCTGCCAACAAGTCGTCAATCCTCTCCCCCACCCCCACCCAACAAGTCGTCAATCCTCTCCCCCACCCAACAAGTCGTCAATCCTCTCCCCCACCCCCTGCCAACAAGTCGTCAATCCTCTCCCCCACCCCCTGCCAACAAGTCGTCAATCCTCTCCCCCACCCCCACCCAACAAGTCGTCAATCCTCTCGCCCACCCAACAAGTCGTCAATCCTCTCCCCCACCCCCTGCCAACAAGTCAATCATCTCCCCCACCCAACAAGTCGCCAATCCTCTCCCCCACCCCCACCTCCACCCAACAAGTCGTCAATCCTCTCCCCCACCCAACAAGTCGTCAATCCTCTCCCCCACCCCCTGCCAACAAGTCGTCAATCCTCTCCCCCACCCCCACCCAACAAGTCGTCAATCCTTTCCCCCACCCCCTGCGAACAAGTCAATCCTCTCCCCCACCCAACAAGTCGTCAATCCTCTCCCCCACCCCCACCCAACAAGTCGTCAATCCTCTCCCCCACCCCCTGCCAACAAGTCGTCAATCCTCTCCCCCACCCCCTGCCAACAAGTCGTCAATCCTCTCCCCCACCCCCTGCGAACAAGTCAATCCTCTCCCCCACCCAACAAGTCGTCAATCCTCTCCCCCACCCCCTGCCAACAAGTCGTCAATCCTCTCCCCCACCCCCACCCAACAAGTCGTCAATCCTCTCCCCCACCCCCTGCCAACAAGTCAATCCTCCCCCCCCCACCCAACAAGTCGTCAATCCTCTCCCCCACCCCCACCCAACAAGTCGTCAATCCTCTCCCCCACCCCCTGCCAGCAAGTCGCCAATCCTCTCCCCCACCCCCACCCAACAAGTCGTCAATCCTCTCCCCCACCCCCTGCCAACAAGTCGTCAATCCTCTCCCCCACCCCTTGCCAACAAGTCGTCAATCCTCTCCCCCACCCAACAAGTCGTCAATCCTCTCCCCCACCCCCACCCAGTCAATCCTCTCCCCCACCCCCACCCAGTCAATCCTCTCCCCCACCCCCTGCCAGCAAGTCGTCAATCCTCTCCCCCACCCCCTGCCAACAAGTCGTCAATCCTCTCCCCCACCCCCACCCAGTCAATCCTCTCCCCCACCCCCACCCAGTCAATCCTCTCCCCCACTCCGGATCGCACTAGCGCCACTGCCCGTACTAGCGCCGTTACATACAGTGTTAGGGTTAACACTAACCCTAACCGTTACATACAGTGTTTCTTCCAGACTTGTTTCTCCGGAGGGGGGGGGGGGGGGGCACTTGAAATATTCGGGGGTAGGGTGTTGGGGGGTGGGGGCGGACACTGTTAAATGTATATGATTTCTAAATAAATTCCATTTCGTTTAGGGGCGGGGAGGGGGGGGGTAGAATTCTTTCTTTCCCCCCCCCCAAGAGGTGCCTGGAAGAAACTATGGTTATATATCGATATCTGATTGGCATCGATATCGAAGACATTCTGATCGATTACAGTCCAACATATGGATGTGGCTACATCTTATATTCTATCATTATTATCGTGGCTACATCTTATATTCTATCATTATTATCGTGGCTACATCTTGTAGTCTATCATTATTATCGTGGCTACATCTTGTAGTCTATCATTATTATCGTGGCTACATCTTGTAGTCTATCATTATTATCGTGGCTACATCTTGTAGTCTATCATTATTATCGTGGCTACATCTTGTAGTCTATCATTATTATCGTGGCTACATCTTGTAGTCTATCATTATTATCGTAGCTACATCTTATATTCTATCATTATTATCGTAGCTACATCTTATATTCTATCATTATTATCGTAGCTACATCTTATATTCTATCATTATTATCGTGGCTACATCTTGTAGTCTATCATTATTATCGTAGCTACATCTTGTAGTCTATCATGTGCTCATTTCAACAAAGTAAGTTATAAGAAACCAAGCCAGAGAAATGTTCAAGTTATAAGACAACAGACAAGAGAAATGTTCAAGTTATAAGACAACAAGCAAGAGAAATGTTCAACTTATAAGACAACAAGCCAGAGAAATGTTCAAGTTATAAGACAACAAGCCAGAGAAATGTTCAAGTTATAAGACAACAAGCAAGAGAAATGTTCAAGTTATAAGACAACAAGCCAGAGAAATGTTCAAGTTATAAGACAACAAGCAAGAGAAATGGTCAAGTTATAAGACAACAAGCCAGAGAAATTGTCAAGTTATAAGACAACAAGCAAGAGAAATGTTCAAGTTATAAGACAACAAGCCAGAGAAATGTTCAAGTTATAAGACAACAGACAAGAGAAATCTTCAAGTTATAAGACAACAAGCCAGAAAAATGTTCAAGTTATAAGACAACAAGCAAGAGAAATGTTCAAGTTATAAGACAACAAGCCAGAGAAATGTTCAAGTTATAAGACAACAAGCAAGAGAAATTGTCAAGTTATAAGACAACAAGCAAGAGAAATGTTCAAGTTATAAGACAACAAGCAAGAGATATGGTCAAGTTATAAGACAATAAGCAAGAGAAATGGTCAAGTTATAAGACAACAAGCCAGAGAAATGTTCAAGTTATAAGACAACAAGCCAGATGGATGTTTGTTGAGAGCTTTAATTAGTGATCCAGCCATCCAGAGGTCGGTTGGATTGGTGGCAATAGAAGACCAGACAAGTACACAGCAGAGTTAAAGACACGAGGAATATGTCCACTAGCCACTCGCTCAGTGTATTTCTAGACTCACTCTCCTGCACCTGCACATCCACGGCCCTGTTGACCAGCTGGGGGCGGCAGGATCGGTTGGCCCTGACAGTGACTTTGACCTTTTGACTGGGGTCTTTGTGCGAGCAGACGGACGAGCCGTCCTGAGATGGCGTGAGACTAGCGCTGTGGGAGAGTCGCCTGCTCTCGTCTGCTGGTGCGGCCTTGAATTCAACGGGGGACGTCTGCTGCCCCGTGCTGCTCTTCTGGTGGTAGGGATTGGAATTATCATTGCCAGACGTGGCATCGGTGCACTGAGTCTCGTGGTTTGGTCTGACATGGGGTCTCCTCAGTTCTGATAACGTCACGTCCGTCACGTTAGAGACGATTTGTTTCTCCTTTGTAACTTTGGTGGAAATGACCACGCCTTTTATTTCAAGAACACCTCGCTTAGCTCGCTTGAGAGATTCTGTGGGAGACTGGGATTTGAAACAAGTACTCTGGGTGCGCGTGACGTCATCTTTCTTCTCCACGAGCAAGACGCGCGGGTTACGAATAGTTTTGGCCATGAGGCTGGTGTCGTCACTGTTGGTAGCTCCATCAGTCCAAGGTGTGATCTCCTCCTCGGGTTGAAAGGTCGTGTAGTCGGACTCCCGGCTGTTACAGCGAACTGACGACTCACACTTGAGCTTCTTCTTCGCTGCACGATTTTTTCGTTTCTTTTTCGCTTTACTCGATGGACCGTGGCTGGTTTTGGTTTTTACAATCATTTTTTGATCCGCCGACCGTGGGGGTTTCATGACGTAGCTTTGGTTTGGGGTCAAGCTAGCTGCTGTTTGGGTCAGTGGTTTTTTCCTGGCGGCCGGAGACTTGAATCGTTGATGTGACGTGTTGGACGGTTTCTCGGCTGACTGTCTTGCTGGAGAGGTCGCCCGCCTCTCGCTGCCGGATGTATGTCTGACGTCAGAGCTATCGCTGGCCACTCGACAGGGCTTGTATTTTGTGCTCCAGTGCTCGAGCTTCATGTCATCGTGAGCCACCTGCCTGATGCTAGCACTGCCCACCTGCCTGATGCTAGCACTGCCCACCTGCCTGATGCTAGCACTGGCCACCTGCCTGATGCTAGCACTGCCCACCTGCCTGATGCTAGCACTGCCCACCTGCCTGATGCTAGCACTGCCTGCTTCCAGCGTCTCGCCATGCTCGCTCTCTACGCTCTGCGTGTTCAGGACTGGCGTCTGTAGACCGGAACCTGAAAATTTTTTTTCTTGATTGCATCAACACACATCTCTTGTGACTCACGGTCTACACACATCACACACACCGCACACACACCGCACACCGCACACCACATGCACACACGCACACCATACGCACACACATGCACACACACATACACATCACACATACCGCGCACCATAGGCACACCACACATACCGCATACCATACGCACACACACACACACACACACCGAACACTACGCACATACACACACACACACCCCTCAAGCTCACACGCATACCACACACATACACGCCGCATACCACACACATACACGCCGCATACCACACACATACACGCCGCATACCACACACATACACGCCGCATACCACACACATACACGCCGCATACCACACACATACACGCCGCATACCACACACATACACGCCGCATACCACACACATACACGCCGCATACCACACACATACACGCCGCATACCACACACATACACGCCGCATACCACACACATACACGCCGCATACCACACACAAACAAATGAACATCAGCCTTAATTCCATAATGCAACTACATGTAATACTAACACCCCCACTCAAGCCTTTAAGATGCCTGACTTGCACCTTTGATATGACTGACGTAAGCCTTACCTCTGGATGGAGAACTTGCACCTTTGATATGACTGACGTAAGCCTTACCTCTGGATGGAGAACTTGCACCTTTGATATGATTGACGTAAGCCTTACCTCTGGATGGAGAACTTGCACCTTTGATATGACTGACGTAAGCCTTACCTCTGGATGGAGAACTTGCACCTTTGATATGACTGACGTAAGCCTTACCTCTGGATGGAGAACTTGCACCTTTGATATGACTGACGTAAGCCTTACCTCTGGATGGAGAACTTGCACCTTTGATATGACTGACGACTGTCTCAACGTTGCTGATGAGATTCTCCACGACCATGATTAAATATGGCAGCTTCTGCATTCTCTCCACTAGATAAGCTCCCTTAGAGAGAATTCTCGTATTTAATATTAATTAAGTACTGGTCAAATCCTCTAGAGATCTCCCATACTGTGTTTAGTAAATGTAATGTCATTATGTAATATCTAATGTAATGTAATTCTGTAATATCTAATGTAATGTAATTCTGTAATATCTAATGTCATGTCATTATCAGTGGTTCTTTCACGTATCTATTCGATTGAGCATTCTGAAATCGCTGCAGTTAGTAAGCTATTCATTTCACCACAAAATGTTTGCTTTAGCCAGTGTCCGTCCGAAAAAAAAAATTAAGTCCGCCCCCCCCTACCCCACGGAACTGTTTTTCAAGGGCCACCCCCTACCCTGGGGAGAATGTTTGAAATAAACACTGGTATTTATGTTATGTTTGGTTTTTGCAGAACGGTATGAAGGGAGTTGCTCCCTCTTAGACCATTTTAAGGTTAGTGCCTCCATTTTGTCAGTACATTCAAATCAAATTTAGAACAAGGTACACTACCATAAAACAAGTTACACTACCATAAAACAAGTTACACTACCATAAAACAAGTTACACTACCATAAAACAAGTTACACTACCATAAAACAAGGTACACTACCATAAAACAAGTTACACTACCATAAAACAAGTTACACTACGATAAAACAAGGTACACTACCATAAAACAAGTTACACTACCATAACACAAGTTACACTACCATAAAACAAGTTACACTACCATAACACAAGTTACACTACCATAAAACAAGTTACACTACCATAAAACAAGGTACCCTACCATAACACAAGGTACACTAACATACAATAAGCGTGGGTTTGACCACAGCGGATGTTAAACTGTTTTTGAATGAACATTGATGGCACAATGAATATGATTTGATACGAGATAACACAACAATTCTCTACTAGACTGACAAGATCGCATACAATTCTCTACTAGACTGACAAAATCACATACAACAATTCTTTACTAGACTGACAAGATCACATACAACAATTCTCTACTAGACTGACAAGATCACATACAATTCTTTACTAGACTGACAAGATCACATACAACAATTCTCTACTAGACTGACAAGATCACATACAATTCTTTACTAAATTGACAAGATCACATACAACAATTCTCTACTAGACTGACAAGATCACATACAATTCTCTACTAGACTGACAAGATCACATACAACAATTCTCTACTAGACTGACAAGATCACATACAACAATTCTCTACTAGACTGACAAGATCACATACAACAATTCTCTACTAGACTGACAAGATCACATACAACAATTCTCTACTAGACTGACAAGATCACATACAATTCTTTACTAGACTGACAAAATCACATACAACAATTCTCTACTAGACTGACAAAATCACATACAACAATTATCTACTAGACTGACAAAATCGCATACAACAATTCTCTACTAGACTGACAAGATCACATACAACAATTCTCTACTAAAATGACAAGATCACATACAACTCTCTACTAGACTGACAAGATCGCATACAATTCTCTACTAGACTGACAAGATCACATACAACAATTCTCTACTAGACTGACAAGATCGCATACAATTCTCTACTAGACTGACAAGATCACATACAACAATTCTCTACTAAAATGACAAGATCACATACAACAATTCTCTACTAGACTGACAAGATCGCATACAATTCTCTACTAGACTGACAAGATCACATACAACAATTCTCTACTAAAATGACAAGATCACATACAACAATTCTCTACTAGACTGACAAGATCGCATACCATTCTCTACTAGACTGACAAGATCGCATACAATTCTCTACTAGACTGACAAGATCGCATACAACAATTCTCTACTAGACTGACAAGATCACATACAATTCTCTACTAGACTGACAAGATCACATACAACAGTTCTCTACTAGACTGACAAGATCACATACAACAATTCTCTACTAAAATGACAAGATCACATACAATTCTCTACTAGACTGACAAGATCGCATACAATTCTCTACTAGACTGACAAGATCACATACAACAATTCTCTACTAGACTGACAAGATCGCATACAATTCTCTACTAGACTAACAAGATCACATACAACAATTCTCTACTAGACTGACAAGATCGCATACAACAATTCTCTACTAGACTGACAAGATCAAATACAACAATGCTCTACTAGACTGACAAGATCGCATACAATTCTCTACTAGACTAACAAGATCGCATACAACAATTCTCTACTAGACTGACAAGATCACATACAATTCTCTACTAGACTGACAAGATCACATACAACAATTCTCTACTAGACTGACAAGATCGCATACAATTCTCTACTAGACTAACAAGATCGCATACAATTCTCTACTAGACTGACAAGATCACATACAATAATTCTCTACTAGACTGACAAGATCACATACAACAATTCTCTACTAGACTGACAAGATCGCATACAATTCTCTACTAGACTGACAAGATCGCATACAACAATTCTTTACTAGACTGACAAGATCGCATACAATTCTCTACTAGACTAACAAGATCGCATACAACAATTCTCTACTAGACTGACAAGATCACATACAATTCTCTACTAGACTGACAAGATCACATACAACAATTCTCTACTAGACTGACAAGATCGCATACAATTCTCTACTAGACTAACAAGATCACATACAACAATTCTCTACTAGACTGACAAGATCACATACAACAATTCTCTACTAGACTGACAAGATCACATACAACAATTCTCTACTAGACTGACAAGATCGCATACAATTCTCTACTAGACTGACAAGATCGCATACAACAATTCTTTACTAGACTGACAAGATCGCATACAATTCTCCACTAGACTGACAAAATCACATACAACAATTCTCTACTAGACTGACAAAATCACATACAACAATTCTCTACTAGACTGACAAGATCACATACAACAATTCTTTACTAGACTGACAAGATCACATACAATTCTCTACTAGACTGACAAGATCGCATACAACAATTCTTTACTAGACTGACAAGATCACATACAATTCTCTACTAGACTGACAAGATCGCATACAATTCTCTACTAGACTGACAAAATCACATACAACAATTCTCTACTAGACTAACAAGATCACATACAACAATTCTCTTCTAAAATGACAAGATCACATACAACAATTCTCTACTAGACTGACAAGATCGCATACAATTCTCTACTAGACTGACAAGATCACATACAACAATTCTCTACTAAAATGACAAGATCACATACAACAATTCTCTACTAGAATGACAAGATCGCATACAATTCTCTACTAGACTGACAAGATCGCATACAATTCTCTACTAGACTGACAAGATCGCATACAACAATTCTCTACTAGACTGACAAGATCGCATGCAACAATTCTCTACTAGACTGACAAGATCACATACAATTCTCTACTAGACTGACAAGATCACATACAACAATTCTCTACTAGACTGACAAGACCACATACAACAATTCTCTACTATAATGACAAGATCACATACTATTCTCTACTAGACTGACAAGATCGCATACAATTCTCTACTAGACTGACAAGATCACATACAACAATTCTCTACTAGACTGACAAGATCACATACAACAATTCTTTACTAGACTGACAAGATCACATACAATTCTCTACTAGACTGACAAGATCGCATACAACAATTCTTTACTAGACTGACAAGATCACATACAATTCTCTACTAGACTGACAAGATCGCATACAATTCTCTACTAGACTGACAAAATCACATACAACAATTCTCTACTAGACTAACAAGATCACATACAACAATTCTCTTCTAAAATGACAAGATCACATACAACAATTCTCTACTAGACTGACAAGATCGCATACAATTCTCTACTAGACTGACAAGATCACATACAACAATTCTCTACTAAAATGACAAGATCACATACAACAATTCTCTACTAGAATGACAAGATCGCATACAATTCTCTACTAGACTGACAAGATCGCATACAATTCTCTACTAGACTGACAAGATCGCATACAACAATTCTCTACTAGACTGACAAGATCGCATGCAACAATTCTCTACTAGACTGACAAGATCACATACAATTCTCTACTAGACTGACAAGATCACATACAACAATTCTCTACTAGACTGACAAGACCACATACAACAATTCTCTACTAAAATGACAAGATCACATACTATTCTCTACTAGACTGACAAGATCGCATACAATTCTCTACTAGACTGACAAGATCACATACAATTCTCTACTAGACTGACAAGATCGCATACAATTCTCTACTAGACTGACAAGATCACATACAATTCTCTACTAGACTGACAAGATCGCATACAATTCTCTACTAGACTGACAAGATCACATACAACAATTCTCTACTAAAATGACAAGATCACATACAACAATTCTCTACTAGACTGACAAGATCGCATACAATTCTCTACTAGACTGACAAGATCGCATACAATTCTCTACTAGACTAACAAGATCACATACAACAATTCTCTACTAGACTGACAAGATCGCATACAACAATTCTCTACTAGACTGACAAGATCAAATACAACAATGCTCTACTAGACTGACAAGATCGCATACAATTCTCTACTAGACTAACAAGATCGCATACAACAATTCTCTACTAGACTGACAAGAGCACATACAATTCTCTACTAGACTGACAAGATCACATACAACAATTCTCTACTAGACTGACAAGATCGCATACAATTCTCTACTAGACTAACAAGATCACATACAACAATTCTCTACTAGACTGACAAGATCACATACAATAATTCTCTACTAGACTGACAAGATCACATACAACAATTCTCTACTAGACTGACAAGATCGCATACAATTCTCTACTAGACTGACAAGATCGCATACAACAATTCTTTACTAGACTGACAAGATCGCATACAATTCTCTACTAGACTAACAA